AGACCATTACAAATCTATGTTCTGTAGAGCAGATATCCACCAGCTTCATCCCTCAAAGAACTGGAGAAGAACAAGCTTCTCTTCTTGAAAAACTGGTACAATGTTCCACTACACACTAACTGCTCAAACAAATATTCCTAGAAGGACTGAAGTTGTGGTGAAAAAGCTGACCCTTATCAGATATTTGATATGATTTTATTACCCATTGTTTACCCATAATTCTCTGCCATGGTGTGCTGTACAGCTCAGTTTGAGGACCAGTGTGGTATATAGTAAGCATTTTATGCTTGGTCAACAAAAATGTTGCTTTGATTTTCTGCTGGCCTAGCTACAGTTTAAAATGGGAAATTATCAGGTAGATGTTTCTTACATATAATCCCACAATATCTGGAGGTGAAACAGGCAAACTGTCTGTGGGTCAGCCAATAACCAAAACGGTACATTCTGCTGGTTCGCAGCGGACGAGTTGCTAATCTTTTCCTTAACAATGCCTAGTCATTTGCCTTGAATACACACCATAAAAATTTTAACTTCGTGTAGCAGTAATCTCAGAAATTTCAATAAATTTCAAAACTTAATTTAGCTTCTGTGATTTGCTTTGAATTAAGAACTGGTGGAAAATGAGATCCAAATAATTTCTTTATACAAATAAAAAAATAAAATATAAGCTAATACTTAAAGAACAATTTTATGCCAAATCAGGGGAGCTAAATGAAAACTACTTAAACAGCATTCTAAGCAACATAAAAATGTAACTGTGAGGTTATAAATGAGTCTGTCTTTAGTTCACTCTCACTTTCAGTACTACTGAAAGACTTTGCTTTCATCCGAAGTCTGATCATCATGTCTTGTACCATCAAACTACACAAACAAAGAAGTATTAGTGAAACTCCTACACAAAAAATTCACGCAAGTCTCCACCTCTGCTGAGCTGACATATTTGGAGAACAAGTGGAAGAAGGTGTCTCACCTTTGCAGCCAGGTCCACTGAATTTCATCACTGTCAGAAAAAAAAGTCTCATCACAGTGAGTTTTAAGGGCTCAATCAGGTTGTCATTACAGGAGTTAATTAAGTTGGTGATCAAACGGCCCAAGATGTCAGCCGGTCCTGTCTGTTTTCATATGGTATGGTGCCAAATAACGGTCTTATCAAGGGTTTCAATCATACAGTGACAATGTTAATTTAAGGCAAAGATAATGGTATTACCTCATAAAAAGTAAAAAGTGCTGGTAAGTGCTTGCTGCGAGTCACCAGTAACATCACAGAGAGCAGCGCCAGCAAAACTGGCAATTCTGAACACACTGAAAGATTTTAAGAGCTTTTAATCATGGTCAGTTCTTTTGTTTACATACATAAGCATTAAGATTCTAAGAGTAAACTGCTTTTCTTTGGTAAAATACATGAAGGAGAATTCCTGCCTTGCCATTTGGCATCCAAGGGAACATCCATGCCTAAACAGAGCACAGAAATGCAGAAATGTATAACATAATTGATGCTATAGATTCTTGTTGAAATTTCTTGTTACCGCTGAATGGAAGTTGCACTTATATGCGGATAAGATCAATTACATAGCTCCATTTTGTTTTCATTCATGTAAAATGTATTTTCAAGATAAGCTTTAACTGGGCCTTTTTAAAGAATCATGAGATCACAAAGAAATTTGAAATCTCTGAAAGCATGTGTTGCAACTAGCAACTTGCTATGATACAAAAATATTTCTCTTTCATGTTGCTAGTATGATCTACTGGATCAAACAATCACTTCCATTTAATACACTCATGTAAACATCTAATGAAACTCATGTAATGTGATACCTTCCAGTTGACAACAGACGTGAAGAAAAAAATTGCTTCAATCTCAACTCATCAGCAACACTACATCTATAACAGAGCTGGATGCACCTGAACAAAAATGTTGACAAACTATCATCTTGAATATTAAACATGCTGTAAGACACAATATTGTGCTAGGCCCAAAGAGTCTCCTGTGCATTAGAGCATAAGAAAGGCAGCGCAGAATATAGGAACAAGCAGGTGCTTAATCCATCAGCACAACCACTATCTGCCACAACATGCCACTTTAGTTCTTAGGCATGTACCACTGTTCAAAATATAACAAGGGAATGACAGGTGGCAATGTCATGATATGCATAGAGTGCCATCCCTCTTCATAATTACACTAACAACCTCTCTGCAGTAAACATGCATGCTACAATATATATCTCTGGGAACTTAGGAATGTTAAAAATACAATAGTATTACAGAAACCTAACTGTTCAAATAAAAGGCATTATATTTTAGATTTGAACTGAAGGACTTCACAAAAGATTTGGTTTATACAGATGGACAAACTACAAAACTATCAAAAACTACTAAAATTATTGTGGAAAAATACCAGCTGTAACTGAACATTCTACAATTACCTTTTCTACTCAGCTGTTCTGCTAAGATACACATTTAATGTCTACAGACGTTTGATCATCTAGCCTCTATTTAAATCAAACTGAATACTTTATCCTCATCACCAAAATTCTTTCTATCATAATGTATGCAAGCCTACAGAGTTAATCATTAACTGTACTGAATTCGTTACTGGAAATAATTCTTTAATTCAGAGGTGCCTGAGTACAGCACAATACTGCAATGCTTTTCTATGAGGAAACCTTTTAATTACACGTTTTTTTTTGAGGATTACTAGTTAAAATTATTGTCCCCTTTTGGGCACGCAATGCACATCGTGCACTAAAATGCTACTTGAAACTGTAAAGGATTATGGGTATTATCCTTGCCAAAATGTCAACATGAGTGCTAATTAAGAAAAAAAAAAAATCAGAATCCACAATGTGTCAAAAATACAGTGCCCCTTTCCATGACCACTGTGAAGATGTTGCTTTCCCAGACATTGTTCAATTAGCATTACAAAGAAGTGAGATGGCTCCCCAATGTTCTTGGGGAGCCATCAAGATCAAGCAGATCCCTCAAGTACCTGTGAAGTGCCCCTGCCCTCCACCCTTTTATCTTTTAGGCACTCATGCAAATGCCTCACTATTTCCTCAAAAGGCCCTGGAGGAATACCTCAGCCATACAACACACGTTATTCTCTTTTCCAAAGACTGCACCCCCCCAGCCTAACTATCCTTCCCCACGTACTGCTCCCATTACCTTCCTGCTTACCTGTATTCCGTGGGATGCGTTAAGCAGGAAGTACCAACTGAGAACTGATCCTTACACAATTAAGCTCCAAGTATGTCTCATACAGAATACTTCCATATAAAAGAGACACGTTTAACCTGTTAACCTCTCCATAAAAGGGCATTTTCACAGCATTTACCCTAGGTCCTAGCTCGTTATCCTGACAGCAACAAAGTAATACACAAATCAGCACCCACATTTCATGAAAACACCCACAGAGTGATTTGCAAATGGCTTTGGTCCTGGACTCGCTATCCCCCTCTACCACAGCCAAAGTCAAAACAGGATCCATGAAAGAGCCTGTTGAGCTGGGAAACTGTAAACCACTGACGTCTTTTTAAATGTAATGTCAACATTTAAAAAGACGTGAGTGGTTTACAATTTCTACACTTAAAGTTTTACGCAAAATGCCTAAGTTACAATAAAAAGTATCAAAAGTCTTATATGTGGACAGTAAAATAAAGAATCCTGAATCATACTGTAGTCGTGCAAATTATCAGCAGTCTCAGTCGTTACTGTACTTTCTTTAATGCAAATCACGACTCACACTATTCTTTCATCGACAGCCATGTCTTACAGAGTTTACTGGTAATGTTAGACGCTGCATTGTTCAGCTCTCCAAGCCTGTTAAAGACTCACCACCCCTTTGGAGCTGCTGGAAAAGCTGCATAATTAAACAACGCATGAAAACCTTATACCGGGCCACTTAAAAGGAGGTAACTCCATGAAAACAACGGCATTATAAACACGGTGCCATGACTAAACGTGTTGCAGCAGTTTCTAGCCTAACCTTAGCTAATAACATTCACTAAATTATTAATCCACATTTCTGTCCTCTACTTGAACGATAGCTAGAAGCCAGTTCCAAGTTTTCGCACACCAGCCGTGGATGAGTGTAAAGGGCTTCTGTTCCTTCAGACCTCCAGATTTTCAGCCCAAATTAAAGGCTAATTTTAAGATACTCTGTTACAAACTACGCGCATATAGCCACAGTCAGTGTTTTTGCTTTCTTACCTTTACAAAAGAGCGTGACGACCATGAAAACAGTAGCAGTCCATGTCCCAAGCGGCATCGACTTCACACCGCTTTCACCACCGTGATCTTTCTTTATTGTTGATGAACTCATGTTTTAACTTAAAGAAAGTTGCTTCAAAAGACGACGGCAGAGCGGCTTACACGCAAGACCCCATGCGATTCGGTTACAACTGAACGGTCGATAACAGTTTAACAGCCGAATTTAGATGTTTTTTTTCTCGCCCGAGTGTTCAGGACAACGTGAAGCAGAGCCTCCAAAGCAAAGCTAGCCTAATTGGCTAGTTTAGAATCAGTACGGATTTGGGAGAATGTGGCAGGCGCTCCATGCAAACTCCAGAGTAATTTTCCTTGCAAAGACACAAAGTGCTCGCTCGGGCTAAATATCTGGCCAAATGATTGGGAGAGTCATCGGCAGCAGTTCTGCTACGCATGGAGGCTTCCACCGGGTCCCTCGGTTCCCTGTTCAACCTGAGAGCTTGGGTGGATGGGCGGCTTCCGGCGAAGGCTGCTGGAAGGAGGAGCCGTGGATTACACTGAACCTTCTATCAGACTACGCTTTGTTCACAGTCTGTACCATATTTTGAAAACTACAAATTCTTCAAACGATGAAACGGAGACAATCAAAGCTCTGATTTAACTTTATTCTTAAGCATAAAAAAAAACAAAACAACATAGGTTATGTATCTTAAGGTCAGGAATCCGTAAAATTTACATCTCCACCATGTCAACACAATGTCTTGCAACACTGACCAGTTTAAAAATCTTCATCTATGTTGATATGTACTTTTAAATAGACCATATATTTCACAATAATCTTTAGTTGTATAATACACCGAGATAAAACAATTAAATACGGTTTCGAGAGTGTGAATAACGGTGTGGCAAATACAGATACAGCAATGGAAGTGACACGCAGAGGAACAAATGCAAATGTATTATAAGCGCAAGTCATTGATTAATTAAATATTATTAAAACGATAGGACTGTAAGACCCCAGATCACTCGACATACAGTATATAACCATACAGTACCTAAATCTAAGTGGTCCCAGAAAATCGCAAGCTTAAAAAAATGAACAATAACACTTCAAATGCAAAAGTGATCGCATTATCCACCTAGTGGCCACAGAGGGTAAGAAACTGTCTTTATACTCCAAATGAGTGTTGAATCTAAAATTTGATTTACTAAAAAAGGAAACCAAACAAGTAGGCCAAAATGTTTGTCAACACTTCTTCAGGGCTGCAAGAGTATAAAAAAATGACAAACGTTTTTATTACAATAATTAATTGGGAAAAATATTTTTCAACACTTCTATAGGGATGCAAGAGCATAACAAAAATGACCAATGTTTTTTATTACAATAATGAATTACTTAAGAGTGATTAGTACATTTAGACACAGTCACAGCACAATCTGGAAACACATGATCTATCAAGTTGTACAGACACCTGTAGTTTGTCATTACACTTAAAAACCCAATGGAAACAGCAAAAGTTGGTCAATGCATTCATAAAACACACAAATGAAACACAGTCCTTCAATTTGTTAAAGTACTCATTTGACGATCACTGCTTCATATAACTAGAAATGATTGTCATGCAGTTTCAAGATCACTAAATGGAGTGTGTTACTGGCAGGGTTTCATTTATAATTTCAGAGATCGAACTGATTGGTACTAACACACTGTGCAATTAATTGTGCAGTAGTGTATTTCACTTAATGTCAATGCTGAAAGTATTTTCTCCTAAATACTGAAAAAGACTGCAAACTATGTTTGTAAGCAGACAAATTATTAAAAAAAAAAAAACAGTAGAGGCTATGTAAAAAACAAACAAACAAACAAAAAATCTCAAGGGGGACTAACAATCATGGGCTAACTGGATGCCGCAACATCAAGGTGAGTCAGGATGTAATTAGGAAAAATGATCATCCAAGCAGTGCAAAGTACATGCCCTTCATTACTTGTGGCTTTATTAACTAGGCTACCAAACCAGTAAGCCATCTAAGTGGGTAGTTTAGTATTTAGTATTTGTGGTGTATATATGTAGTTATTATGTGCTACTGGCTTTATATCCTCTTCTGGGTTGTGTACACTACCTATCAAGTCTTCACTCAAAGACCTGCCTGAGTCAATATTGATGATAATATTTACATACGTAATAAGCCCCATCCTGTCATTTTATGGGGTGTAATGATGATCACAGGTATGTGTGTATGTGATTGTTTGTGTGAGGGTGGGCGGTGGAGATAGAGTAGAATGTTCTTAGGGGTCCCGGCGAATGAACCAGATCTCGTTTCGACGGCTCGGCACCCCAGGGTTCTCAAAAACGGCCACCATGTAGGTGTCGCGGTGAACATTTTCAGGTGTGCCCAGCAGCTCCCACAGCAAGCTGATCTGCCGAGAAATGGTCTCCTCTGTGGTGGTGCCAAAGAAAACCCTGACAGAAGGAAAGATGGTCATTCTACACTTCTGAACAGAATTATTTATCAGAAAATTGCTTTATGTTGGATTCAAAACGTACAGCAACCTCACCACAATCTTCATCAAGAGAAACAAAACATTTTTGTAAATTTGTACAATCACACAACTTGTTTTTTGTCAGGTAATGCCTAGATTATGAGCAGTTATCCAAGTCTAAGAGGGAAACTGCTTTACCGGGTGATGACTCTGATTGCGTCCCTGTGGACGATGGTGATGTCTGGGTCAGAAGGTTGGGGTGGGTTGGCCTGGAACTCTGCAGGCAGGTAATATGCTGTCAGAACATCTTTGACAAAGCTGGAGCCGTCATCCAGCATCGTTATTTCATTCACAACAGGCACGGTCATGCCCAAGTAACGGCCTGGGAGTAAAGGGGAAAAAGAATTACAGCAATGTTACGTTCACAATCACATATTTTTAGTAACTGACAGCACTGTAAAAATACATCTGTTTTAAGGTAGCAATTCTGATGGAGACTTAGTCAACAAGTGGGAAATGATAACAACTAAATAAAAAGAAGCTTGGTGTACTGTCTTAGATGTCTGTATTCCACTACTGTGCCATTTAATAATTATTTTTATTTTTTTAAATTTTTTTTTTATTCTTTTTAAAATAATTCTTTCATAAGGTACTGATCAGTTTCCAAAAGAATCGTAATCAAGCTGAATCATTGTGAAAGTTTCCTACTCTAGATACAGGGTATTGCGTTTTTTTATTTGTTTTAAATGTAAAAATGTAAAATAGTAAAAAATAAATGTAAAAAAAAAAAAATCCACATGTACCAGCTGAGTTCTCCTTGCAGATGAAGCGCATGAGTTTCATGAAGCCCATAGAGATGCTCTGCTCATACAGGTCCTCACCAACAGTGATACAAGCCCATTTACCTGCTGGATACACCCTCTCCTCATACATTATCTCACCAACCTAATACACACACATACACACACATACACACACACACACACACACACACACACACACACACACACACACACACACCCCAAAAAGAAAGAAATAAGGAGGACACACACAGACAACTCATATTTTTATTAACTCCTAACTTACCAAACAACAGCAGAACATAAACATCATTTATTTATGTAGTTTTACTGGCATGTGCAAAACAATTAGGGGGGCTCACACTGGGTGCATTCTATTATGAGAGATGTTTTTTTTCGATTGTGAAGGAAGATTTTTTTAGTTTAGCTTGTTCATTCTTGTAGACTTAATAGTTAACAGCAAATCACATTCTAAAAGGGCGAGTGACAGAACTGCCTGTACATATCAAAATGACACCCAGCTATCACAGCTGATGGAAGGTTACGACGCTACTGGCTACCGTTACAGCTAGCATCAGAGAAATGGAGAGCTAGATACAGCATTCAAACAACACCGTGTAAACCCTCAAGAAAAAAAAAGCAAGATCATGCAGGGCACCTTACATTTTCCACGTTTACAAAAATGTAGTGTGAAACTCCCAGTACCTTTTCATGTCTTGAGATGACAGCAAAAGGAACTCGTTCTTGTCCCATCTCCTGGTTCCTCCTTGTCATCTCCATAATTGGTCCCGTCATTTCTAGGAGAATAAAATACGCACACACCATTAAATTGCAGACACTTGTCTGAAATGTTTTTACTGATTACTGATTGGTAGGTGTTTGGGAAGGGCAGCTGGTCATGCAGAGCAAAATGCTGTAATTTCTATCTGCAGCCAAATACTCTTATGTAGATGTGTGATAAGGGCTATGTAGAATGAGTATGTGAAATAATAATGTACAGTCTTCTCTCAGTTTGTACAGAAGTCCATTCCATTTTTATTTGAGGTTTTAAACTGATTTTTCATGGTATGAGCAAGGGAAACATACTCATAAACCTGGGCTAACTCATATTCCACTCTCTTTTCAAACCGCATATCGCAGTGGCGGTCAACTGTCTAGCACAGCACTCTATATCAACAACAAGAGAAAGGAAACAGTACTTTAGCTAGTTGGTCTCTATAACATCAAAGTTTCATGCTAGAATCCAAAGCCTCTTTATGCTAAAATCATAGGCTTTTTGATTATATACAGTACCAGTTAAGTTTCAACACATCTGTTGATGTGTTGAAACTTATTTTTTATTTTTCAATTATCTTTTTTTTTGACATTTTTATCTATAGCCTAGAATTTTTTAAATTTTTTTCTAAGACAAATATAAATATTCAAATTGATGCCTATGAATTACAAATGAACAAAATATGTCTGATAAAAGCCCTATTTCTAACTGGAGCTAATCCAATAGGAACTATTTCACAGTATTGTGTATTCATTATTATTCTAATAGGTGGAAAATATATGAGTAAGTAGCATGTTGGGTAGCGTAGCATGTAAACTATGCATGTAAAGAGTCAAACTGGCATACAACCCTGTTTCCAAAAAAGGGATGCTGTGCAGAATGTAAATAAAAACAAAATGCAATGATGTGCAAATCATGTAAATCCTATATTTAATTGAAAATAGTACAAAGACAACATCATAATGTTGTAACTGAGAAATCGTATTGTTTTTTGAAAAACATATGACCATTTTGAATTTGATGACCTCTTTCAGAAGTAAAGATGGGCTGGGCATGATCTTCGGGCCCTCAGGCAGCACTGCCCTAAAAACAGGCCAGATTCGGTAATGAAAATCACTGCATGCGCTCAGGAACATTTGCAAAAACCACGGTCTATGAACACAGTTTGCCGCTGCATCCACAAATGCAAATTAAAACTCTACCATGCAAAGAATAAATCATATATTTTCTTTGGGGGCAGTCATGGGCTGGAGGTTAGGGAACCAGCCCTGTGACAAGAAGGTTGCCGGTTCGATCCCCTCGGCTGACAGTCCTGAAGTGCCGTTGAGCAAGGCACCTAACCCCCAATTGCTCCCCGGGCGCCGTAGATAGGGCTGCCCACTGCTCCGGGCAAGTGTGCTCACTGCCCCCTAGTGTGTGTGTTCACTAGTGTGCATGTATGTGGGGGTTTCACTGCATGGATGGGTTAAATAATTCCACAGTGTGCAAACACAGTTGGCTGATTGTTCTGAATAAAAATCATATATAAACAAGATCCAGAAATGCTGCTGTCTTCTCTGGGCCCAATGCCATTTAAGATGGCTTGAGGGAAAGTGGAAAAGTTACCTGTGGTCCAACAAATCGAACTTTGAAATTCCTTTTGGAAATTACGGACACTGCATCCTTCAAGAGGAGAGGGACCATCCGGCTTGTTATTAGTGCACAGTTCAAAAGCCAGCATTCGTGACGGTATGGGGTGCATTAATGCACATGGCATGGGTGACTCTGTGAAGGCACCTTTAATGGTGAATGATCTTTAGAGGTTTTGGAGCAACATATGCTGCCATTCAGACAATGTGTTTTTCAGGGAAGGCTTATTTCAGCAAGACAATGTCAAACCACAATCTGCATGTATTACAACAGCATGGCTCTGTGAAAGAGTTCGAGTGCTAAACTGGCCTGTCTGCAGTCCAGACCTGTCACCCACAGAAAACACCTGCCGCATTGTGAAACCAAAAATTCAACAAAGGAGATCCAAAACTGTTGAGCAACTCTATATAAAAAATTATATATCAAGCAAGAATGAGAAAATATTTCATAAGTGAGCAAAACTGCTTACAAACAAGGCACCAGTCTGCAGGAACATCCCCCAATCAATAAACAGGCATTTCAAAAACATAACCACCATGAACATCACAAAACAACCAAACCTAAACTCAGAAATTGTACCTCTTGGAACGGTAACCTGATGTGTCCTTCCCACTGCCTGCCAATGAGCATACAACCTTTCCTGCTCTTCATCATCCATTGGCTCAGAGCTGTCAGTGACATCATCATCCAACTGCTCATCATCCAGTTCAGCAAGGTCTTCAATAGAGATGAGAGCCATTGTGCCAAATGTCGGTGTGGCCTGAAACACAGGGAGGCACACAGAGCTTTTCATTTAGTGAACAGAAGAAGTAGGAAAATTATCATTAATTAAATACTTTTTAGAAGGAGGAAATTGATTATAGGCTTAACCCTTTTAAACTGCATAAACACAAACCTTTGTGAAACAAGCAGCATATCTATTCAGGAAATAATCCGATATATTAATATCTAAAATATTTATTAAAAAAGAAGCCTATCTACACTTCATGTTACAAGAGAACACAGGTATTAATAATAGCGCTGCTTTAATTTAATTGTCTACCTTTAAAGGCCAGCGGCCCTCAGGAGATCTAGACCTGGAGTTTAAGAAACAATGACATTAATCTTTGTCCACTTCATCAGGCCCCACACAGCTACAATCTGGGATGCACAAAGGTCAGGCTTAATTGATATATCTTCCTACTGCTCTCTTTTCAGCATACACACCTTTTTATTTTGCCCTGGCAAGAAGTAACATGTAGGTTCGTAGCGTTCATTTTATATCAAGAATCACGTAACAGTGGCAGTGAGCTTCGGCTAAAATGCCATTAACAATAATTTTACGTTCAGAAAAAACTAAAGGTAAAAAAGAATATCTTTCCATGCATGGGACATATACAGTAAGTGACTGTATAGCCTTTGTGTTAATGACTGGTCACATAGTTTAATATTCCAAAGAATCCATAATAAAACACACTGCCCACTTTGCTGAGGTTCCTCTTCTGACCTCTCCACAAAGAGAACATGTATTTAAGTACATAATATCAACATATCATGTGTTAAGCACCGTGTCATGCACTTTCATGTAAACATTAGATGTTCTCCATACCGTACAGCTCTAGTACCTGAGCGTGCACTGTAGGCTCTGTCAAGCCATTTAAACCCCGATAATGTGATGCAGGCCTACGGCACTCTCAGGAAGCATTTTCATCACAACAAGATCGCCATCGCCTAAACAGCCATCACGTTAAATGAGTTGAACTGGCTGAATTCAGAGACTGCACGACGTCGTGCTCTACTCACCCTGAAATCCGATTAACCGTGGATGCAACAGCGTTTTCCACCCAGTGCACTTGATTCTCGAGAAGTAGGTCAACCCGCGGCACGGCGAACACGCAGCAAGAAATACTCAAACTCAACAGCGAATGCATTTTTCACCAAAAAATCAAGAGATCAAGAGATCAGCTACACACACATTGAATGTCCTCAAAATGTCCCCAAGTCTTTTGTGGAATGTTAATATTCCAATCCGCCGTTTTTGAGTCCTGTTATTGTAAACAATAGCGCTAAACAAAAATTACAGTTTCACACAGCTTACGACCGACCAACCAACAGTCTAGTATGAACTACACTGAGAAACGGTACTGTTTCATCTATATTTTAGCTATTCGCAATTTATTGTTATTCAAGCCAACAACACATACTTACTTTGTCGGGAACGCAGAGCAGAAGCTAACCTAAGTGGTGAAACGATAGTTAGCTGCTGCGCGCTGCTGCTTCTGCGCAGTGGGCGGATAGCTCGTCACATGGTGCAGCGTCCAGTGCTGCTGGAGGGAAGTTGTTAGCCATTAGCCAACAGCAGGCAGTCGTGTGGTTTGTTTACTTCTGTGCAATGTTTTGGGTTTGTGTTCATTCTACTTTCAGGCGAATAAATGCATTTTCCCTCAAGCTTATATATATATATATATATATATATATATATATGAATCCAAAGTTCATGAATCCATCATCAGCATAAGTATGGAAAAAAAAACATGCAAGTGAAAAAGGTGGTTTTTTATATATATATTTTTAGGAATACAGTTATTTTTAGTCCGCACTGAAGTTCCATCTTGAATATTACTATACAAAAGTTATACCAGGATCAAACCTAAACCACGCTTAACTCTCTGTCCACAGTAACCTATAATAATCGGAATATGTATTACTTTTATTTTGGCAGATCTATCTTGCAGTTTTATGACTGATTAAGTAATCATTACGAATAGTACGTGACATCATTCAAGCCTTGGCAAATTCAAAAGCTGGTAAATTTTGCTTTTATTCAGCGCGGATCCATCTCGCCATGCAAAACAGATCATACAGATAATTGGTAGATGAAACACTGATTTCCTAACAGGAAAATAAAATGCGCTGCTTTCTGTAGCCTAAATATTTGTACACAAAAAAGTAAAAACACAAATATTGTGATTTATTTGAATTCAAATCAATAAAAATCTCAATAGCAAGCATTTGTGTAGCAATCTTACATTCTAACAGGAATTCTTCCAAAGGCACTCAAGCATTTTTGAATATCAACATGTTTAGGTAACCCTCAACCCTGAGTAGTACAGCATTACAACAGGCTAAAAACACAGTTATACGCAGTGTAAAATAATTGCATATTCTGAAATTTAAACTTATGTCTAGGCAAGCCTAAATATCTTTTCCCGTATTACAGGAATTTTTACTTTACTTTTACAATTACTTCATTCTGGCACAAGAAGTACCATACAATAATGGCACTACAAACCTGGCACAATGTACAAACATAAGTGTACTTATTCCAACCAAATTATACTTGAACAGATCACTTAATAGAGACCCATATAAAGTCACAAATACATTGACCTTTGGGGCATTCAATAACATGTAAGTAAAATTTTTTTTTAACATCATGTCAATAAAGCTACCTAAATTCAAAGTGAAGAAATGCACTGCAACCCAGATGTAATGCTGAGAAGTAAAGACACACAGTTTTGAACTAAAGTTAAAAGTGTTTCTGGATAACCATGACTCTAGGCATGGTCACCACTGGCATTTTTTCTGTAGGGCCAAGCTTCACTGAAAGGTGCGAACATTCATGGGAGAGAAACAGTGAGAGTGGGGATTTGTGTCCATTTGCATAAGAATGAACATAAATATTACATAACCATCAAAGAGCTACTTACACTCTGCCTGCTTGAACAATCGCAGTTTCATAAAAGAGACTATGTGCTATGCTTTACATTTCAAAAGGTTTCTATATTCACATGCTTTCATTATTAACAATGGTTAATGATGAAGGTTCAGTTTAAAATTTCACTATCATCTGGTTTCATATTGCACACTACAAAAGATTTAGAAAACAACAGAAAAGGAGGACTACACAAAGCTGCTGTATGTTTTGCTTCATTATCCAAACATAACCATACTCAAAATGGTGCAGAAGGAAAAAAATGTGCAAGGGTAAAATTTGTGAATTTGTGTCAGTGTACATGTTTTCTAATGGCCGGTGCCGCTGTACAGCTCCACTGTGCTGGAGCTCAGCGGTCGACTCTCTCTCAGCCTCCTGCCTGCTCCTACGCTCTAAGAAACAAAAAGAAGTTTTAGCTAAAAGCAGAAATAGACAAAAACAGCAAGATTATTCCCTCAGTGCTGGTTTTATTTGCCGCCAATTAAATAATCTCACCTGAAAAGCATCATCATCTCCACTCTTGTTCAAGTAAGACAGTGAAGCAGCCCTCTTCATGCTAGATGAAATGTCATAAATCAGTAAAGTGCCAAAATGATGCATCAAATCTCAGACTTTTTTGTCACCAAAAAGAAAAAGCAGTATTCAACAAAAGCAAAGAGTCACAAAGAGTGATATCTGCATTATAACATCACAATATCTATTTAAATGTCTATAATACAGGCTTACAGAGTGATGTGTGTGTGTATATCTCTTACTAGGGGTTGTGTGATTCTGGGGGTATGGTTCCCTGCAGTTTCTTCACCAACATTTCACTGCTCCTACGCAGCACTTCGCGCAGTTTTCCCAGAGAACCACTCCTTCTCAAAGTACCATCCTGCACACACACCATATACAGCTCACCATACACACCTTCACAAACACAGAAACACAGCAATCCACTAGCTTATGGGTGTTCATCTACGGCCCTGGTGATCTACCCCAATGAAATTAGTGCCAACCCTAATCTAACACATCAGATCCAGCTGTTAGTCATCTGGTTAATCGATGCCTTCAGGGGCATCTAAATATTAAAGCCAGTTCTCCAAAGTAGTAGATCATAGGGGAGGTCAGGCATTGTGCTGCATCAGCATTTGTGCAAATAGGTGAAGTACAATTATGCTGAAACTGTTCATTCTTGGCACTGGAGGGGGCAGTATTAACCTAATCGTCTATTCAGACAAATGTAGGCCGCTTGTTTTCTGCAGGCTTTTTCACCCTCAGTTATGGCCTCAGTAACCTGTATTCTATTCTATAAGAATAAGACTATATAACAAATCATATTCTTCACAGTAAATCACAAGATAATGAGGTGCTTTGTGAATATCAATCTGTATTTTTCAACATACCACAGGGAATTGCTTATGGGATAAAACTTTTGAGCAGTGTACTACAAACCCTGCTGTATTATTATTCCCACAGACAAAAACTAAAACTAGATTGGGAGACAACCTCAGATAAAACAAGACTCTACAATGTACAGTAAATACACTCCAAAATGGAAAGAAAGAGCAACAGAGAAGGTACAACAAGAGAGACTCTTCTGCAAATATGAGCTTTTTATTGCTGTGTGTCAGAGGACTTTATTGCTCAGTCCCAATGACTATCTCAAAATGTTGACACTGGCTTTGTATTCCAGAAACTTGTTTCAGATGCAACAGCAAACCAATCACATATGGCAGAACACTAGAACTCAGAAAACAACACCACCTAGGCTTCCTACCAAGAGAGGCTACAGTAGTCCGCATATATATATAGATTAAGGAGTTTATTAGAGTTCACACAGACAAATTTCAAGAGATTTCAGATCGGGAAACATTCACTAAGCCAAATATTCAAATTTGAAACAAAACAAAACAACGTGCAGGGTTTCAACTGAAACTAGTCAAAGGAATGCAAAGGGTTTAGTGTAAGGAGTTTCTAGGGAATAGCAGGGGCATTGTGGAGCCAATCCCTAAACATGCTGAGTGTCCAGTTGGCATCTTTAGCAGAGATTTGGAGTTTCTTTTGGCTGAACAGTTTTTTTTTTATCCAGTCACGTGCATTTAGTTCAAAAACAGCCCCTTTAGCTTCCCTACCTCTGTTTCACTCAGTAATATGATTTAAAAGTAAAGCACATTTAGTAAAGCTATTGAGCCTTTGTTGCACCACATTGAGATGCATTTGCTTTGCAAACTAATGTGTCAAACCTCCTCCGAATGTCTGTGTCTCAACTACTGAGAAAAATTACTCAGTACTCTGCCTTTTCTTGAAAAACACACACTTAGGTCCAATTAACAGATAAGAAAATAAATTGAGCCTAAACATTAAATATTAAGATTTATATCCAAACACTTATTTTGGTGTGTGCAAAGCTAATAATGTGACCACATTACCTCATTAATAAACAACAAAATAGCTCACAATAATGAAAACAGCACAGTGGAAAATGCTGACAGAACTGCATGTTTAAAAAAAAAAAAAAAAAAACCTTTATCGTTCATCCTTGATCAAATAAAAAGATGAAATTAGAAGTTGAAGGAAGAACAAGTGACTGCAAGTCATTATGCATCTAAAGGCGTTTTAGTATGTGAAACAGAGAGAGTTACACAACCCGCGGTCTCTAAAGATATTACAACAAATTCTTGGGTGCACACTATAACATGCTTGTACTATTAGTGAAACAGTATGGATAAAATAAATGTACGGCCGGAACGGTCATTTGGTGTGCCATTATTGACGGAGGCAGGTCGTTTTCCTGCTATTCGGCATCCAGATTTTTTTCCACCCTTAAATAAGCTCCTTTGATTGGTCACGATTTACATCACACTGGCTCCTACCCCAACCCCAGTTCTAATCCCTCAGTGAAGCAGTTACAAGTGCACAAATCAGTTTTGCAACAAGTCTACTGAGAGAAGTGTTGCAAAAGTCGAGGCGGGCAAATTTAAAGTTGCGCTGTTACGTTTAAGAGGTTGTAAGCTCGAATTTGTGGTTGAGAGCTAAAAATGAATGAGTACAAATACACATACCTGTATTAATCTTAGTATATTTTCTTAGTAAATTTTAACATGCAAGTTTAGATTTTAATTTTACAAATGCCCACAACGAAAATTCAAGTACAGATTTTATTCTACAAGTGCTTACATTGAAAATTCAAGTACAGATTTTATTCTCAGATCAGGTCCTACAAGTTCTCAAGTTTTGCAACATAATTACCTCCACAGGATTTGGTAGCTACCAAGTGCTAAATGTCAGGCTGAAGAGAGGAAAGCTGCAAACTGAGTTCTGGCTCAATTCGGGTGTAAGTTGTTGGGTTTCAAAGCTTTATTTGAAAAGACTCCTGAGCAAAAAGCACACAGTGGTAGTTACTCGTTTTCAGTTCCCATGCACGTAAAGAAAAGAGCTTCCTTTGTTTTGGTTTTGCTTGGACTAATAATGTAAACATAACTAGCTACAATTTTCCAGAACAATCAATGAGTTCAATGTAAATATGTTCTACTTTTGCAAATAATCAACAATATTTGACATATTTAAAATTATATTCGGTTAAACCTTTGTAGACCTGTCCAGGGTGTTTCCTGCCTTCCGCCCAATGACCGCTGGGATAGGCTCCAGCTCCCCCCCACAACCCAGAAGGATAAGAAAATGTGTGTGTGTGTTTGTAAACCTTTGTATTGTAACAAAACACAAAAAATACACTGGGGGGCCACAGAAAACCACTGTTGTATATGTTTAAATAAAATCTGTTGGTTGAGGACGTAATTGATCCTTTCAGTGATGGCTTAACTAAGTATTATTTGTTTGTGGATGTACATTGGTTCCATGGGTTCCAGTAGTATTATATGTTTCCATTTACAAACCCAATTCCAAAAAAGTTGGGATGGTATGTAAAATGCCAATGAAAACAGAAAGCATTGGTTAGGAAATTCAGTTTAAGCTGTATTCAATTGAAAACAGTACAAAAACGCAATATATTTTACCTTACTGACTTGATTTTGATTTTGTTTTTTTAATAAGATACACTCATTCCAAATTTAATGCCCGCAATACGTTCCAAAAAAGTTGGGAGAGGAGAATGTTTAGCATTGTGTTACAACAACTTTCCTTTTAAAGACACCTAAAAAATGAGGACTAAAGACACCAAGTGATTCAGTTTTGAAAGCATAATCTTTTGCCATTCTTCTGTTATACAAGTCTCCATTGGGCCTTCGTTTATGAGGCCTTCACTGTCATATTTTGAGCTTAATAATGTGCCACACGTTTTCAATGGAAGACAGGCAGGCCAATTCAGTACCCCACGCTGTGATTACGCAACCATGTTGTTGTAACATGCAGAATGTGACTTGGTGTTGTCATGTTAAAAATAAGTATGGGTGTCCCTGAAAAAGATGGCATATAAAAGGCAGCATATGTTGCTCCAAAATGTATTCAGCATTCACAGATATGCAAGTAATGTACTAAATCCCCCATATCATGACAGACACTGGCTTTTAACCTTTATGCTGGTAGCAAACTGGAAGACATTTTTCTTCTTTGGTCCAAAGAACATAACATCCATTATATGCATGAACAATATGAAAGGTTGACTCATCAGACCACATACAGGCTTCAGTCCATTTCAGCTCAAGTCCAAAGAAGTCCACAGGCATTTTTGCATGTTAAATTATGGCTGCCACTGAGCATAGTGCAATGAACAGTGTTTACTGACAATGAGTGGTCAGAGTCCATGTGGTATTATCCATCAGAGAAACTGTTTTTAATGCAGTGTCGACTGAGGGATCTAAGGTCACAGACAGTCAGTTGTGGTTTTCAGCCTTACCCTTTCTGCATGGAGATTTCTCCATATTTCCTGATGTTTGAAGTTATTATACATTGTAGAGTGTGAAGTACCTAAAATACTTGCAATCACTGACTGAGGAATGTTAATTTTAAACTGTTTGAATTTTTGCTGATATCTTTTTAGCAAATCAGCAAGCCTTGAGCCAATCTTTCTTACAAACCTTCCTGGATTCTGCTTTTATATCCAAGCATGATTCAAACATCCATTCAGGGTGTTTTTGACAACATTTCACAATGTTTCTAGTCTTAATTTGACCTGTCTAATTTTTTTTGGAAAGTGTTGCGGGAATCAATTGCAGAACAAGCATATAATTACTAAAAACAATAAAATTGATTAGACAAAAAATGTATTATATATTGTTTTGGTACTGCATTCATTTAAATACAGGTCAAAGTATTTAAAAGGTCCCACCCTATTTGGGGAATGTTGCTGACCATCTGCATCCCTTCATGCCACAATTTACTCATCTTCTAATGGCCACTTCCAACATGATAATGCACAATATCACAAAGCAACAGTTCTCTTAAACTGCTTTCATGAACATGACAATGAGTTCAATGTTCTTAGGTGGCCTTCCCAGTCACCAGGTCTGAATACAATAGAACACCTCAGTGATGTGGTAGAACGGGAGATTTGCAGCATGATGACATCATGTCAACATGAACCAGAATATCAAATAAATGCTTTTAACATCTTGTGGAATTCATGCCATGAAGAACTGAGGCTGTTTTGGGAGCAAAAGAGAGGCCCTACCCAGTATTAGTGTAGTGTTCCTATTAAAGTGTTTGGTGAGCATATAAGTGTGTGACAGAGCAGCGCGGGATGTGGGGAGACTTGATCTATTAAGCAGTAGAAGAGAGATCTATAGAGAGATCTGTATTAGTGAGGTCATCAGTATTATGCTAACTCTTGTGTCTGTTAATTGTGATAGTGTGCCTGTGAATGTATATACATTTGGGACTTGTCTTGAGCCTAGTCAAGAACATGCAAATTCTTCAGTCTTGGTATGAGAGGTTTAGGACAGTGGTTCCCAACCCTGGTCCTGGAGATCTACCCTGCAGAGTCTAGTTCCAACCGCAATCTACCACAACTGCCCCAGCTAACTAACTTCTTCAGAACTTCTTGACTGGCTGAATTAGATTCATTAATGTTAAGTTAGGGGCTGGACAGTATGTTTGATGAATCTAACTTCTGTAGGAAAGCAACTAGTATCTGTAGGAAAACTGATCTCCAGGAGGAGGGTTGGGGAGGTTTTTTTAGAAGATACAGTCCTGGTTTGGATTTGCTGTTGTTGCATTACTTGCTGGAAATTCATCAGAAGTCACCACAATCTTTAGACAAATGCTGCTCTGCTGCTAACCGGTCTACACAGGCTCAGTCCTGGCTCTGGTCTTATCTCATCAGCAAACAGTTATTCTTGGTTTGGGTTTCAGTCTCAAAGGTTTTGTTCCACTCTACTTTGTAGTCCATGTTATACATGTTTGACAGTGTGTGTGCATGACTGTATGATTCAGAAACACTCACCCCATTCCACTCTACACTGCCATCATCTCCAGGCTCATACTTCACACTGTAAAGAGAAGAGCTCCTCCTCCGGTTGGCATCATTTAGAGGATCCACTACTGCTCCCTAATACATATACATACATATACACACACACACACACACACACACATGCACACGCACACACACACACACACACACACACACACAACTACATTAGACGATAAAAAATATGATTAAAACATTTTTATGCTTATCTTTTCTTAAAACTTCCCCAGTACAATATAATACAATCCACTATGATGCCATATGATACAACAGCTAAAACCTTTAGTTTTTTTTTTTGGTCACATTAAATTTAGATCATTTCTATAATCTACCATTTAAAGCAAGATACACCTGCTTTTTATAACTAATTTACTCATGCCCATGCATAACATAAGAAATGCACACATTATGTACAGTTTTGGACCTAATATGGTACCGATGAAAGCTGCATTTCAAAAGCTAAGCTACAGCCAAGAAAGGTGGATCCTTGATAGGACTGTCCTGCGAAGGCTCCTCGTTTGTGTTACATAATTCAAAACGAAACAGTGTACCAAGGCTGCTTTGTCACATCAGAAAACATTTGGGGCACAAAATTTGATGGAGAAAAACTGCTGATGTGAATGATAAGCTCGCCAGAAAAACGTTAATGTGAATGATGTAACGTGGCAGGCACAAGATTTTGTCAGTATTATAAAAAAAAAAAAACTAACCAAAAGCAGGTGCATTTCACACCCTGCGTTCAATTTCCACCCTCAGATAGAGATACACAAATAAAAAAAATGCGTACTGTATATGCTATTATACATTTCACTGACCTTTTAAACAATTTGTAGTTGTTGGTTTCTTCTGCCTGCGTTTCTCTTGTACTTTCATCGCGTCACACGCATGCGCAAAGGATTATATGCGACAGAAATCAGTGAAGGGTACTCCGGTAGCGCCCTCGAAACCTGTCAGATTTCTCTCGGCTGTATTCGTGCGTCATTCTGTAGTCCTCGTTATGCCCATATTAGGAACTCCGGGTCTAAGCTCCATTTCTCTATGGCCAGAATGAATAGGGTTTTCAAAAATCGCCTCTATCGCCCCGTGTTAAATAAAAATGCTCAGAACAAGATACATTTTGTCCTGTGTACATTTTTCTCCCGAGTATCACTGGATCCTCCGAACTACGAGGTCGTTAAAGAGCCTTCATACTAATATTGCTACAAGCGGGCTAAAGCTACTGCCCATCAATTTGATGTCACTAAGCTACACGACACTAAGGTGGGCTGTGGCAGGGCTCTTGCTAGTCGTGCTACCTTATCAAAATGTTCTACTGTAGCGCATATTCACAGGTATACCCGTAAATAAAACCTCTGGTGGGATATTTGGGTAGGATATTTTGGTAGGCTAAAGTCCTTATCAAAAATACTATCGGCGTTAAAACTACGAGGCTGAATTTAGCTTCTTTTTCGCAGCTTCTTGTTTGAAAGTTCCCGTTCCACCTTAAATGGTGCAGCAGCTGTGACTAGCTATCAATACATTAGCAAACGAGACAAAATACTGACCTGTCGGTTCTGTGAAACAACAAAAATAAGTCAGTATTACTCAGCTGTCGAGCGGAAACAGATAAACCTCCTCATATCATGCCCTTCAACCCTCCATGAAGCTGAAGTCAACTTCTTTTTCGCCTGCTCCTGCTGATGTGCGAATTTTCACGTTCCACCTTAAATGGCGCTGCAGTTCAGAACGTAACTGCCGCACCATTTAAGGTGGAACGGGAAAAGTCGAACAAAAAGCTTGCAAATGTTCCGAGAAAGTGTCCTCAGAAAATGTCACTGCACTAAAACAATAATTAGGGTATTTTGAGAGCCTAAATCAGTTTATCTAGGGGTCAGCAGTAATATTAAGCTGAGTCTGTACTGGATTAGCCTGAGTGCAGATACGTTTGCATGCAAGTTTTGCAAAACGGAAAGCTCTAGCTATCGTGTTTCAGTGGGTGTCAAACGAAGAAAGGAGAACTACATGGAAACCTGCTTCATTTGTTCTGACTTCTTTTCATCTGCCCTCAGTCTGCTTAAGGGGGCTGCCAGTCTAATGACGTCTATTCAGTGCGCAGTAGCTTTAGCTTACATGTAGTAATATTAGTATTATAGCTTTTTAACGACCTCGTAATTCGGAGGATCCAGTGATATTCGGGAGAAAAATGTTCACAGGACAAAACGTATCGGGTTCTAAACATCTTATTTAACACACGGTGAGATATAGGCGATTTTTCGAAAACCCTTTTCATTGTGCCCATAGAGAAATGGAGCTTAGACCCGGAGTTCCTAATATGGGCATAACAAGGACTACAGAATGACGTACGACTACAGTGGTCTATTGCAACAGCATTGGATGGCGTAGTAGTCTGGAAAGGCAGCCCACTTGGACCGCAGCCTAGCTTTTGGAACACAGCTTAAGTCAAAGAACTGATATGTCCCTGTGTCAGACCTGTTTCCGGGTTTTCAGGGTATACTCTTCGAGCATATCTGCGGCTTCAGTTTTGCCTTGCTGGCGGTACAGAACTGCAAGATTCCGTAGAGTAGTGTTTATTGTAGGGCTGTGGGTCAAAGTATACACACACATAAACAACATACAATTCAGTGAAACCATAGCACCCAGCACAACCACTAGGGCAACCACAAATTTGAAATGCTTTACACTGCCCGTCTTTCCACATGGAACTCCTATGGTGGTACCTAAAACCACACAAACGCACTGGTTGTAGAAGGCAACATCTGATTAATGGAGGATGTTCCAACCGCAGCTATAATTGAATACTTGTGCAGAGGGGACTTGCTTGTGGAAACATAATTGGACTGTTTTCCCTCACCTGTTCACCTTGCATGCTTTGTACCAGCCCATTTGTTCTCCATAATGAGCACCTTCACCTGCTATTCCCTGTGAGGACACCAAACAGAGAATGAGAGAGTAAAAAAACAAAAACACCCTCACAAATGAATAAGCAGAGATCTGCTTACACCAGCAATAACTCAGAATACATAGAACATTGTACAACACCTCAAGGTAACAAACAAACGACTGTAGGCTTGCTAGTTCCTGAAACTTCTCAAACGTTCACATGGTAACTGACTTACCTTACTGTCTTCCCTCTCCTCAGCATGCATCCAAATGGGTTTGTTTTCAGCTGGAAGTAGAGATAAAAGAAAGAAAGGTAGGGAAAAAGAGTGCAGTCATGAGACCATGACTGTGAGGCCATGACACAAACACCCAACAACAAACTTCCCCTGTCATTCAGATAGATGTAATTAATTTAATACTAATATAATACAGAATCAAGTATTCTCTCTTTTTTATAATTACATATCTGTACTACCAAAAGTATTTACTCTGAACATTTACACAACATAATTATAACAAGGAAGAAGAATACAGAAAGGAGACAGAAAGGAGAGTCTCGATCACTTGTTGATTTATTGAAACAATGTCTGAAGAAATCAACAGTATTGATTGATAAAAAAAATCAATGCATCAATAAAGAAAGACAAACAGACAATGCATGGATGTGACATTGATAAGACAGGAGCAACTGAAGAATTAAATTAAAAATCTAAAAAAAAGTAGAAAAAGACAGTGAGTAACAAAACAAAAAAGGGTACAAATATACATATTATACACCTATCAACATTTGATCTTACATTCATGCTCACAAACCAGGTCATTGTCAATGTCTATCAGCTCAGTCACATTTATTTCACATGTATTAGCTGAAAAGAGGTCAAGAAGAGCTCTCTACTGAGTAAAAAAACAGTTTCTTCATTTCAAATACCGTGTGCTTTAAAGCCCCTAGCAAGAAACTGTGCCTTGTCCCAGTACTAGGACACATGCCATATTTATGTGTGAGTGTGTTTACTGTACCACTATTGTTGTTCCATTGTAATATATTTCAGATGCGCCAGTTTCTGATTATGGCTTTAAAGCAAAGTTTCAAACAAGCCCTATACATAAAATGTCATGGCAAAAAACAATATGAGTAATTTGTAACATTAATTCCTTCCACATTTCTCATCTTAATGATAAAGGATTAAACTTAATCATGGGAACTTCCTTTCAACAGACAATCTCCATTCTGAATGTTGTGTAGTCCAAGATTAACTTTAAACCCTCTGCAGGAAACCGACCCTTTACAGATACATTCAGATGGTCGTATTTATAACTATATTTAACTTTTACAATAGTTGTGTTCATTTAAGTTAGCCAGCTAGCTCAATAATATAATTTCCAGAAACACTTCTGGGTCTTCAGAGACATGGAACAGTCAGTTGAAATCAGCTTGTGGTTCTGTCAGCCAGGTCTCGGACTGTTTTTTTTTATTGTGTAAAAGATGTTGTAAAGGGAAAAAGAGGAGGTGTGAGAGACTGGCAGGTAATGTCATGAAGGGTCATCTGTGAAATAACTCACAAACAAAGTGAAAAATATGTGTGTTCAGTAATCCTAGGGCTAGGGCTGTGTGTCTTACAAAAATTACAAGAGAATTAGTAAATGGAAAAAAAATCATTATTGAAAGACAATAAAATTTATGCCAATGGCCAACATTCTACTTGTACTTTAAGAAGTTAAAACTACTAAGACTTCAAAAACTTTTAAAAACTCATTTTGAAATACTCACCATCTACTATTCCAAACTCCTTCTCGTGGGCCCGTGTGAGGATCTCTTTGTACAAAATCTCGGCCTCTTTGTACTTGCCCTGTTTCAGATAGCAGGATGCCTAAAATGACATAGTAAAAATTGTAAATGTGATTCCTACGATCATTTACAGCTCAGATAGTGGAAGATTATTTTCTTATATAGCTCCTAAACTCTGGAATGGTGTTCGAGAGAACATTAGGCATATAAGGTTTATAGGTGGTTTTAAATTTAGGTAAAAACATACACACTTAGGTTTTGAGATTTTGTAATTAAAATAAAAAGAGCTTTATCAATATTATTAATGTGTGTGGGTGTGAGAGAGAGAAAGAGAGAGTACAGGGCTTACTGTTATTGTATGTGTGTACTCACTAGGTTGTTCTTTGTTTTAGCAACATTGGGATCGTCTAGGCCCAGCCTTTTTTCATAGATCTCAAGGGCTCTGCAGTAGTAGTACTCCACTTCCTCATACTTGCCCTGGTTCTGGCACACCAGTGCCAGGTTATTCAGCTGCTTGGCCACATCAGGGTGATCCCTACCCAGCACCTGAGAAGGACAAGATAAAAGAAAGAAAGAAAGAAAGAAAGAAAGAAAGAAAGAAAGAAAGAGAGAGAGACAGAGAGACAGACAGACAGAGACATAAAAATTATTTTTCACCTGAGATAGCACTTCTTTCAGTTAATCCACAGAAAATAACACTGTGGTGTTTACAACAACCTCCGGGTCATAGCACTGAGGCATTCTAGCCTTCCAAATTCACTGCAAGAGTTGTCACACAATAAAGATGTGCATCTCTATCTCTCTTATTCTCCTATTATTAGTTACACTGGCAATGTATCTCATATTCAACACAAACCCCTTACAGCTTTCCCTAGTAAGGTTTATAAATATCTATGTGCTTAAACTCCTGCGTTCTGCAGAACAGACTACATTTTGTGGTAAATTCTGTTTGACCTGTAAGACATTCTTCTGTCATACAAAACTTCAGCTGTGCAACTGTATGGGCCTTTCGTTGTCAAATTTGGCACTTCACAATGCATCACATGCTTTCAGTGGGAGACAGGTCTTGATTGCAGGCAGACCAGTCTGGAACCTTCACTCTCTGATTAATAAACTGTGCTGTGGTAACACATGCAGAATGTGGTTTGCTGCTGTTAAAATGAAGTAAGCATGGACGTCCCTGAAAAAGACATGGAAGTCTTTTTCTGGAAGGCAGCGTATGTTTCTCCGAATTGTGTATATATATCTTTCAGCATTGACAATGCCTTCACAGATGTTCAAGTTACCCATGCCATGGGTACTAATACAACCCCACACCATGATAGACCCTTTTTTCTTTATGCTGGTAACTGTCTGAATGATTCTTTTCATGTTTGGCCTGGAGAACAACTTCCCACAAGCAATCTGAAAGGCTGATTCGTCAGACCTCAATACATGTTTCTACTGTGCATCAGTCCATTTCAGATGAGTTTCAGCCCAGAAAAGTTGGTGACATTTCCAGACGTTGTTGATATAAGGCCACTGCTATGCACAACTTGTATTTGTGGGTGCAGCGATGAACAGTGTTAACTGGCTATGATGTGTCAAAGCTTTCCTGAACCCGTATGGTGATATCCAACAAAGAAGCATCCCAGTTTTTAACACAGTGCTGTCTGAGGGATAAAATATCTTACTTCTAGCCCCAAGGGTTTCTGGAGGAGCCTACCTTTTCCCTCAATTCCAGAGCTCTCTTACACAGCGGTTCAGCCTCAATGTACTTTCCCCTCTTCCCATAAAGCACTGCCAGGTTGTTTAGTGTGGCAGCCACCTGTAATAGACCCAAAACTGAGGTCAAGCAGTCTGAGCCCAGTGTGGACTGAACATCCTAAGAATTAAAAGACAAAAACATCACACTGTGCCTTGGATTTTGATTGTTTTAAAAACAATGTTTGCTGAGTGTGTGTTGGCTTGATGGCTGCCACTCACCGAGGGGTGCTCCTCACCCAGAGTCTTCTCTCTGATAGCCACAGCATCATAAAGGAGACGAGAAGCTTCTTTGTAATTATTCTGGTCCCTGTTGTCAAAAGACTTCTTTCAGAAGACATGCACAGCTTTCAATTGTAATTGTTGTCCTTCTCAAATTTATACACAATTATGTTGTAAAGAGTCTGTATTGTAAAACACTGTGTAATTATTGTAATTCACTGGGTAAAAATGTCTATAATAAAATAATCTGTAAAAGATCTAAACTGTAAATCAACAATAATTATAGCATCACATAAACATACAGCAAGAAAGATTTGTGAATCTCACTGGAATTCTACATCCTCTCCAATATTCTGACTATGACTGTTCATGAGAAACCTTGCCTGTATACAAGAGCAAGGATGTTGAGCATGGTGGCTACATCGGGGTGGTCACGGCCTGAGGTCCTCTCCAAGTCCTCCAGCATCTGTTTGCAGAGTGGCACAGCTACCTCGTAGCGGCCCTGGTTGGCGTACTGGATCACCAGGTTGTGGAGTGCTCGAAGGCGAGCTGGAACCTCATAGCCACCCCGTCTGGCTGCCGCCAACGCTGCGCTGCTGGGCTGGTGAGATGCTAGACACACAGACGTTGATATTACAATGCATGTTTGCAGTTAAAATGAGAGCCAATTCCTTGGCTCTTGAAAAGAAAACAGTAAACTGAAAATGGCCACAATTATTTACAGGAAAATTCTTACTCCCTTGTTCATGCTCCTCTTCATCATTTGGGAACAGATCATCCAGAGCATCTTTTGTTGCTTCTCCATTTTTTTCCTCTTGCTTTAAAAAAACAAAACAAAACAAAACAAAAAAGACTATTTGCTATAGTACTATTTCACTATACTATATTACTACATCCACCATCAATATTGAACAATTCAGTTAACAGAACTGTATTTGTTTTCAGGGTGAAGTGCTTTCTACTCCAATAATATTATTTCTGTCCCATAATGCATGTAAGTACAAATGTCTTCATTAGTCTAAATATTATAAGATGCCTGACATGTCCATGTTATAACTCTTCCTTTAACAAGCTAGAAATGCAAAGGTTGGAGGCACACAATTACAATACAAAACTGATGCATTCACCATAATTCACTCAATGATAAAAGGGATAAGTGAAATCAGAGAGGATGTGAGAATGACACAGGAAAACGTATATAATCCATACATGCTAAGTATGATAAGTAACATTAAATTCACCTATAAACCAACTGGTAGAGTCGCTGCTTGGGGGACAATCAGCACAAGATATTAAATGATACATATTTAAGAATATGGATAATATACATACAGGTGCTATTAACTTTTATGACTAGTCCAGTGATGTCTTCTAAAGCAAAAATGTAGTTTGGTTTAACAGAACTACTTTTCTCTTGCAAAGGCAATCATTATTTTTACTGCATGTACTGTGCTTTTGCACACACACACACACACACACACACACACACACACACACACACACACACATTCCATGCTTATTTGGAGTTATTTAGGAGGGCTTTTCAGCCATGCTAGCTTACACCACTGACTCTAATGACAGGCTTGCGTCCTTCAGACAATGTTTACTAATGTTCCATCGCCTCTACTTTGAGCTCTGCTTTCATAAGACATTTGATTGGTTTCAATGTTTCAAACTCATTTTGATCCCGTTCTTATAATTCTACTCTCCCACCCATAATGCACTTTATGACCGCTGCTCTTTGCAAAATACTGCACATGCAACTTTACTCTCATGCTATTTGCACAATACTGCACACAGTAATGTTTCATTACTAAGTTTACCCCTTTTGTTTTTTTTTCTTTAGCAAAATAAGCAAAGTTAGCAATGTAAGAATTTCATTGTACAGTGTAATTGCCCCCCAAAACTATTGAGAATCTTACAACATTGATGGTCCCTCCTCTCCAAGCCAACAAAACACACATCAGAGTTTGCATATCATATTTTGTCTAATCATGGCTTCTGGAGAATAAAGAGCTTAAAGAATTATCTGAGGTCATCCATGTCTTAAGATGGTTATGTGGAGTTGCAATCCTTCCAATACAAAAGGACACTGCTTCCACCATGGACTACATGGGTTTAATCATTGAGTTTGCTGCAAGCAAGGCCAGAAAGATCTAATGAAGACAATGATACCTTATATAATTAGTTATTAAGTCTACAATGGCATCCAGTTTGATGGGATCCATATAGGATGACTCTTCTTGGGCCCAGCCCACTCCTCTATATGGCCCTGTTGATGGGGTTTTTATTCTGCTCTTGGCCTTTGCCTCATCCTAAAAATCAATGCTAAGTTTCTAAAGCACACACCGAGATAGAGATGGAGACTCTGAATGCCAGTTGTTTTTACTGGAGGGAAACAGTTACACTGTTAGAAATAAAGATACTGTACAGGTACATTTTTCGTTCATCATGGTACAAATGATGTAAATTTTCCCCTAAAAAAGGTACATTTTGTGGTCACATTTTTTCATGTCAAATTGTGTTCCTTTTGTGCTAGTTTTTTTCCCAGGTGAAATTTCTTTGTACTTTTCATAACCTAATGTTTTAAAACAGAACAATAAAATAAAAAGCCTGGAACTGAGACAGCACGCCTGAAATCAATACAATTTAGAAAATACAATTTCAATGGATTATGGTACAATTATGTTCCTTGACTAAAGGAACTGAGATGTACCCTTGAGGGTACCACACCAGTGACAAGAGGAGTACTGTCGAAGTGACAGTTTTGTACCTTTTCTGAGAGTGTACGCAAGAAGAAAAACAGCAAAGAATGCAGTATATGACAGCCAATAAATGTGTGTGTGCATATCAGACAGAGATGAGTGCAAGGAGGTGTTTGTATTACCGCTGGCAAGGCATCCTTATCATACTTCTTCAGCTGGTTCATGAACTCCAGGTGCTTATTCTCCTCCTCCAGCTGAGCCACAGCCTGCTCACTCTTTTGCAGCTTTTGCTGAGTGTTGCTTAGCTCATCCCTCAGCCATTGATTCTCTTGGCACAGCCGCCGCACTTGTGCCCGCAGCTTCTGCTTCTCTGACTCCACCGTGCTCAGGTGGTTGGCCAGAGCTGTCATCACCTGCAGCAGTAGCAGGGAGCAACCCACAACACCAATCTCACAAAAGGTTAACATCACGCAATCATCTGAGCTAAATAAATGACATTCTTTTGAGCTAGGATGGGACGAGTGCTTGACTGGAAATTAATCCCTAAGACACACAGTTGTGATTGACCTATTATTTGTGTGTTTCTTTAGCAGGCTTCCCAGCCTACACACATCCATCTAAGCCATCTATGTACTTGGGCTTAATCAAACATTTTCAACAACCCTATCCAGAGCTCTATATTCCATCCCTAACCTCACCCATATGTCCTTCATTTTGTTTTTCTTAGAACACCTCCCTTGTTTATTTGCCTTTATATCTGTTTCTGCATGTCTTTAAAATAACTTCCCCAAAGTCCAGCTTAATTACCTCACTTCTCCCCACATGCTTCACTTTACCTGTGCCTCACCCAGACCCAGCTCTATCATTTCCACAGACTTGCGGAGCAGTGAGGACTTCTCGTGCACCAGGCAGGCTACCTCATCCTTGTTCAGGCACTTAATGGTCTCGACTAGGCTGTGCAGAATGGCATTGTGTTCACTCTTCAGTGCCTCCAGCCCCTGGATCACCAGCTTGGTGCTGGAGATGATCTCCTCCTGTGTTAGTCTTTCCAGCTTCTCCTCACAGGGGTACACCATGGTGGACATACTCCCAGTGACAGGAACAAGCCTGTGGTGGAACAAAAGGAGGGGTAAGCAATTTAAAGATAAAAGAGTCATATATTCATGCATTCGTTTAATTAATATCAGTCAACATCATGTTAACTAACAACTAAACTCACTTAAAACTTCCTATGAATTTGTCAAATCTTTCTATTTGTGTTAAATATTACATTTGAGCTTAGGAAAAGTCACTTGTATATAAATATACATGGTGGTAAATGTAGCTGCATCTCTTATCAAAGTACACTTCCAATCCTCAAGCACGGTTTTCATAACACAGTCATATGAATGAGACCTAAGAAGTTCAACATTAACCAATCAGATGACTGCAACAGTCCCTTATCTTCAACACTGACCAATCAAACAAACAGTAAACTATTTAGGTGCCCATGATTAAAATGGTGACCCACACCATTTTGACCATGCTGTGAACATCATAATTGTACATTCAATACAAAATACAATCTGTATATCCTTACCAATCCTTTACAACTACCCATTTAAGGTTAAATCTTGCAAAGTCTTGTGTCTTGTAATGATTAACAAGCAAATAAAGAATCAGCCAGTACAAGAACTCACTGCCTTCAACAATAGGTCCCATTTAAGGTGTGTGTGTGTGTGTATACAAATGAGAGAAATCCAATAATGTAAAGCTGAATGATTTTTATATTTTTCTGATATCCTTATTTCTTTATATGAGCATGAGAGAGAGATTTCTGCTTTGTGCACCCCAATGTGTGTTTGTAAATTGCCATGGAATACAGCCAATCCAAATTTTAACAATGATGCTAGTAACACAGGTTTATATAAGATCTTTATGTGTCTTGTGTATATACCTATACAGCACTTGGAGGTAGATTGTCTCAGCAGTGCATACAAAGTTCCTTTTTATAGAGACAAACTCACACTAAGAGACAATGTTCATGCAATAATTAACTCAGCTCAAACTAGAGTAGACACATCATTTAAGAAGCAGAAAATCAAACCAAAAGCCCTTCAACTCTGTTTTTACTTTTTTTTACTCCATTTATAATAATAACATGTAGTTTCTCTCTTAATTTTAGTTTTATGAATTATGAAGAATTAAGTTACAGACATAAAACAAAAAGTTTAATCAGTAAAAAAAAGTATAATCAGATCACAGGAATACACAAAAAATGAAATAATTTAGATGTTAAAAAAGACACTCAAGGCTTACTCAAAAAGAAACATAGAACATGCATAGACCTATAAAGTTGTGTGTCATTTTGTAGTCGACAGCACAGTCATATACAGAACACTCTGGGTCTACATATTTTTCATGCTATTGTGCACTGTGGCAAAAAAAATTTAAAGCAAAGATGTTTTGTACACTTTCCTACAGTGTCACTGGATCTTCGGAATTACCAGGTCATTAAGTCAAAATGTGATTACTTATACATCCATGCCATAAGCTACCCAACACTCCTGCACACTGAAACATCTAATACCATATTTCAACTCTATTCTACAACAACACTACTATAACTACACTACTCCAAGGGTAGGGTACTAGTGCCAAAGCAGCTTTGTTGCTGGTTTGTGCAGGATATTTTGTGAGGCTGCCGGTCTTATGATGCCAGTGCATTGCAGTATTAGCTCAAATTTAGTGATATTCATAGTTTTTTCCTCCTTTATTTAGTATAAAAGCATTTGCATTAGATGCCAAAATATTTAAGACTAAATTACAACACTTATGCACTATTGTTTAGTGCAGGGCAATAAGCAAAACAGTACCAAGGGCTAGACCCCCAGCCACACCCTGCCCAGCTAGAATTTTAACATGGCACGACGAGAACATTACTTGGCTGACAATGTCCAAATTTCATGCTTTAACAAATATGTAGCTCTGTGCACTTATTTAAAGTTCAATGAACTCAAAATTGTAAGGCAACCAAGTTACTAACTTTTTTAAGTCAAAACATTAAATACAGTGTAGTTAAACCATAATACTCTTTAGAATCTAGGTAACGTGCGGAATAAAATATGATATTATTTAAATATTTATTATTATTATTATTACTACATTACATTACTTTGTAATGCTCTATCAAGAGCTTCATAAATCATTCATTTCAATAACATGTCATACAATGTCATACAAACCCATTTCCAAAAAGTCAGGACAGCAGGTAAAATGCAAATTTGAAAAATATGAAACGATTTATAAATCTACTTTGACCTATATTTGAACAAAAACAGTGCAAATACAAGATATGTAATGTTTTCTTATCAACTTCCATGTTTTTCGTAAAAATATGTTCATTCTCAAATTGCATCACGTCCCATAAAATTTGGGATAGGAACAATTTTAGACTAGAAACACCGTGAAATGTTCAAAAAAATATATTAAACAGGTGTAGAAATCATCCTTGAGTAAAAAATAAGCATCCAGAAAAAGGCCTAGTCCTTTACGAGCGAGGATGCATTGAGGTACGTCACTCAAAAATGCATCAGCAAAAAATCCTACAGTTTAAAAATAAGTCAGGCATTGCACAGATTTTTGACATTTTACCCTCTGCAGTGCATTATCAAAAGATTCATGGAATATGAAGAAATCTGAATGCCTGTTACTGTCAAACTCCTCAGATGGCACTGCATTAAAAACTGTTTCTGTGATGGATATCACCACATGAGTTCTAGAATACTTTGAAAAAACGCTGTCAAACACCATCCGTCCAGTCATCCACAAAGGCAAATTAAGACTGTATTATGTACAATTGAAGCCATATATCAGCAAGAAAAGGACAATCCAGATTGTTACTAGCATAAAGTTCAAAAGCCAGGGTCTGCCCTGATATGGGGGAGTATTAGTGGGTAACTCTTTCAGACAGCGTCTTTTCCAGGGACACAGATGCTTATTTTAATAATATGACAACACCCAACCACATTCTGTACACGTTACAACAACATGGCTGTGTAATCATAGACAGCAGATGCTAGTTTGGCCTGCCTGCAGTCCAGTGCTGTCCCAATGAAAATGTGTTTTATTAAGCGAAAAGTATGACAACAAAGACCCTGCACGGTTGCACAGCTGAAGGAAGAAAAATGGCAAAAAATTATGCTTTCAAAACTGGGTCAATTTGTGTCTTTAGTGCCCAAATCATTTTTAAGTGCTGTTAAAAGGAAAGGTGATGTAACACAGTGGTAAACATGCACCATTTTTTGGAATGTGTTGCAATTTTAGAATAAGAATGTACAAAGAAAAAAAAACCCAAACGAACAAATAATAAATTCATAAAGTAAAACATCAAATATAATGTTTTCATATGACTTTCAATTTAATAAAAATCGAAAAGCATTTATGAACCACCGCTTTCCAGTTTCTTAGCATTTTACATAAAGTCCCAACTTTTTGGAATAGGTTTGGTATTCAGCAAATCATTATTTAGTTATTTTTATTTGAAGAATGCTTAAACTGCTACTAAACTTATAATTCAGATATCAAGTGTGAATTTTATGTTAATCTTATTGCAATTGCAGTATTTTACTTTAATATCACAATATAAAATTTAATCCATTTGGTGCGGCCTGTTCAAACAGGATAGAATTCTTAGTAACACAAGCATCAAACCACTGTCCATCAAACTATGCCTATTATTGTAATATAATATAAACGCAGACCTTCTTTTTCAGGTGTAAATCATAATTATGAATTAGTGGTCAACGTTTTGAGAAAATATTTATAAAACCACATTTTACAAAAGCGGCTACAAATATCAAACTATGATGTACTCGGAGTACTTAAATGTTTTTGCCGTGAGTAATTTATATTATAACTCATTATATATGGCTGGCTTCTTTGCTTATCTATGATTATACATTAGTCATATGCGTATCTGCTTTATGGTCTTTTTCCAAATCCAGATCATAGGTCACTGTACTCTCGTGACTGTCATTAACTGCCTCGACTTGTAAAAAACACGGAGACTACGGGCTACGAGAGAAAGAAACTCTCTCGTGCGATCTTAAGACAGAGCTTAGTAAAAATGTACATGCTTTACCGGCGTATCGATGCCACAAATGCTACAGTCGAACAAAACCGACGTTGTTCAGTCAGCTGCTCTGTAAATCGTCTGAGCCTCATGTTAACGAACCAACCGGCATACCTGTAGGGTTGTCTAGGGGTCTTGAGTTAAAAGGCAATTTCCCACTGCGAAATAACAGGTCAGCGACAGCAGGTCTAATCGGTGGAGGCACACTGCGGTTAAACTGTCAACACAGCCTCCACTAGGGCACTAACATACTCTACTAGCACTACAGCTTCCACTCGGTCACTGCTGAAATCCACTGCCTCTAATGCCTCTGAACAACAGTCTTCACTAAGTTACTAATCTACTGTAATGTTACTCAACACCTGCCCAGTCCGCGTGAATCCTCGGACGTACAGACATCAGCGGCTGGGATCACAGAACTCATTGCCATTTATCTAAACAGAAGAGTGAGTCTCTTGTACCCGTAGTTCTCTTCCAGAAATGTCTGCGCTCCGGTTGAACAGCTGACTCGACTGGTGTGAAGCCCACTTTCACATCCCTGTCCTGATTTCACCAGATAGCTAACTTGTAGAGAGCAGAATCAGAGCCGGTTTATGAGGAGCCTGGCCACTTCCTACAGCCCCCCGCCTCCGTTATGTCAAAAACAGGACTGCAAAACAGCAGAGGGAGCACGCGAGTGAGTCCTCAATGAATGGAAGTAAATGGAGTAGAAGTTTCCTTACATTTTAGAAAGTAAAAGGAAATTAATGTATTCTTTTGCATTAAAAATGTTCAAGCACTTACGAACTATGATTTTGCTCAAATGCTCCATCCTGACCATCCAGTTTTTTAGCCGTTGAACTCCATTTACTCCTATTCATTGAGGACTCACTCGCGGGCGCCCTCTGCTGTTTAGCAGTCCTGTTTTTGATATAACAGGAGGAATAGGGAGCGGCCAGGCTCCTCATAAACCGGCTCTGGAATTACCACTTTGTAATGTCTTCCGGGTTTCTCAAAGGCTAGAGGCCGCTCCCGAGCGAGTCATAGTTTATGCTTACATATATTTAATAAAAAAGAATGCATTCGTTTCCTGAACACAGAACAGCATAAAACACTTCAACACCGCTGTTGCATTTTTAAACGCTTTTGAACTCCAGTTATAGGGGTTCAAAACGGCGCTTCACGGTCATCCATGACGTCCGTGTGCGCGAACAGCCAATGAGCCGCTCCACTGGCCAACCAATCAGCACTCAGTAGCAGCTGGCATCCTGATGCCCAAAATCCGTTTGCTGTATATAACAAAAAAATATACAGGTAACATTGCTTTTTTGTGAAATACATACTTCTGCATTGTAAAATTAAATGAAGTTCTGAGCAACTTTTTGTTTTTAGCTGCCTTCATTGAGGACTCGCTCGCGGGCGCCCTCTTACATTTTGCAGTCATGTTTTTGATATATAATGGGCAAAAAGGAAGAGGCCAGTGTGAAGCCCAATCTCGCATCCCTGTCCTGATTTCACTTCCCAAAGACCCATGGCCAGAGTTAGCAAGTTAGCATGTTTTCATTACCATGCAAGCCAGTGCAGTTAACTGTAAAACGTTTGCGAATGTTTCTGATAGCAGCTGGTTAGCTTCACAGCAGAAAGTTTCGTTGTTCATGCTGACATTATGTCATGGTATTTGTCTGTACAAAGATCTAAAACAGCGTGTTGGCCTTGACAATGGAATGAATTTGGAGGCGGAGCTTCTGAAGGAGCACTGAAGGGATGGGTGTTTTTCCTGTTTGAGTTTAAATATCATCATTAGTTCTCCAGAAACATATGGTGCCCCTTTAAGAAAGGTATTGTCCAAAGAGAACTTGTTGGTGTAATTGTTTTTTCTCTAGTTTTATATTAGGCTTATTTCGTTTGATAACCTATACAAGAGATATTAACTTGATGTAGTGGTTATTTATTTATTTACAATGATTGTTGATGCTGCGTAAGCATTGTAGCTAGGTAAGTTATAGTATTCCAGAATCCATTCAGATATTCGCAATAGATTAGCACCTTCTTAAAGAAAGTTGAAGTAAGCTTCTTATTCGCCAGCTTCTTGTTTGTATTTTCCCGTTCCACCTTAAATACTGCAGCAGCTAGCTTCTTGTTCGAATTTTCCAGTTTCAGAGTGAATATGTCTGTGCTGCTTTGGATAGCTAACCAGCACGATCACGGTTATTAAATAGAAATAAATGCTACAGATTTTTTTTTCACTCCAAATCAGATTTCCTTAAATTTAAAACAATACATAATTTCTGTTACCCTCTCCAAAAACAAAAAGCTGTTAAAAAAAGGGGTATATGCACCTTATTTAATATATTTTTGTAAAAGCATGTGTTCTATCCCCTGGCTCGTTTATTTTCTTTTTGTTTAAACTGTTAAAATGTTGTATGTTTATGGAATTTGTATGTTGACATTACTGTATTTGCACTATTTGCACTCTTTAAAAATAAAAATTAAAATGAAAGAGCAATAGATGTAGAGGCTAATAAATGTAGATTACAGTAAAAAAAAATAATAATAAAATAAAAAAAGGAAAAAGAAAACACAACTAGACACCCAGACACTGTGTTTCTTCTAGAAAGCATTGGGTAATTTGTTTATTTATTTGTTTATTTTTTAGGATCCCCATTAGCTGCTATTGTGATAGCCACTATTCTTCCTGGGGTCCAGTAGACATATCATACATAACACAAATAGTACGGGAACAATTAACAATACAAGTAATACAAACACAAGAGTAAAAAATTAAGAAAAACAATAAAAGACTGAGAGAGGGAAAAAAAAAAAGTAGACAATGTAACCATAACATTAGAAAGATGATGGAAAACTGAAAAATCACACTTAAGAAAATATTGTGTTTGTATTTACAAAAATTTAGTGACTATAATCTGGTAAATATCTACATTCCTACCCAATCCACCATACTGTTGTTCCAGCTGCCAAGGACCTACCTACGTAACTGATCTTTAAATTTGTTAAGTAGTATTTTTTTTATCAGTTTTTTAAACATTATTTTACCCTCAATTTTAAGCAGTGAGACTGGTAGGGAATTCCACTCCTTTGTGGCTCTATAAATTACTGTTCGACACATGTAGTTAGTTTTTGCTCTGGGTAACCTGAAATAATTTTTTGTCATATATCTTGTTATATTAGTTTCTCTACCTTTTACTTGCTCCAGTTGATTAAAGAGATCTGTTGGATATTTATGTTCATAAGTATTTTTAAGTCAAGTAAGAATCATCTTCCACCAGTCTTCAACCTTTAACCATTCAAGTTTATGATGCATTTTATTAATGTTAGTTCTGTATGGACATTGTAATGTAATTCTTGCTGCCTTATTTTGCATTATTTGTAGTTTTGTCAGATGTTTCTTTGCTGGATTTGACCATATTGCAGCACAATAATCTAAATTACATAGTGCCAGTGATTCTGACACTAGTTTTAGTGACCTCGATGTTAAAAATGTTGCACATCTCCTTATTACTGATAAGACTTTTCCCATTTTTTTAACTATGTTCTCAATATGTTTTGACCATGATAATCTGTTGCAATTGTAACACCTAAGAGCTCTACCTATTGAACTGCTATTTCTTCTTTGCCTATATTTAATGTTAACTTTGGTTCTCCTTTCATCCAACATTTTTGAAATATCCTTTACTGTCTCAGCTGCTGCATACAGAGTAGTGTCGTCTGCGTACATCTGCAGCCTGGCTCTGTTTAATTCTAAAGGCAGATCGTTTATATATATCGAAAATAATAATGGGCCAAGACAACTTCCTTGAGGTACTCCTAGATTTACCCTTTTACTCTCTGATAGACATCCATTATAGAAAACTCTTTGACTTCTATCCAAGAGATCATTTTGAAACCAAGCTGTAACTGTTGATTCTAGCCCATAAGAGGCTAGCTTCTTCAATAATAATTGATGATTGATGTATTTTTGCCTCCCTGACATCTACGGGGAAACAAAGGCATCACAAGTTGCTTGAAAATCTAAAGTCTACTCATCAGTAGAATGATAGTTACAGAATTGAGTTACAGTAACAAATCTGGTTATAAACTAAATAGGCTGTGAAAACGTTCTTTTCATCATTTCCCAATGAGGAACTATGTTCTTTTTTGCATTTACATGTGAGATATTTTTTTAACTCGGAGGAAAAATGTTTTGTGAACATTTTCCTAAATCATAAAGTTTAAATTGTGGTCTGTACAGGCAAAATGTCAGGACAGCTATACAAAGAGCTCCAATCAGACCTTAGCTATTTTCTGTCGAGAGAAAGCAGGCCAATCAGATTAGCTGTTGGGGCGGGGCAAACCGCCTAAACATGATTACACGTGGGACCCAGGAAAATACGGAAAAAACACATTTTACTGCTAAATTATATTTATAATCTTTCTGAGTTCCAAGAGCTGCAGAGGCTGCACAAGGATTGATATGAAGTGTCATAATGTCTATCTTTATGTATTTTTCGTCTTCTAAACACGTCTGTGACTTTTCTCATGCTACTCACCTTGTCATTCGCAGTGGCAACAGTTACAGATAAGGGCCGCCAAAGGATCTGTTCACATATGTTTGTATTCATTTGTATGTACATAAAGAGGCATGTCTGTCTGTGTTCATGGTAATCTTTAGTTCATATTGTAATTGGTTTATTATTCTTGGCTGGTCAGTTTTTGCTTTGCATTGTTTCATTGATTTTGAGAATTAAACCACTTAAATTGCTGGTGATCACATGAAATATTTTTAGGTTAAACTGACAAACCATTTTTACAGTGAATGAAAAAACAATCATTACATCAGAGAAACATAAAAAAAAGGTTCAGTTTTAAAAAACGATAAACGATTAAGGAGCTAACTGTGGTGAGTTGTTCTTAACACATAGTGCATTTGTCAAAAAAGCCGTTACTATCCATTGTCAAGATATTAAAAGGTCACGTTTTACAGCAAATATGGTCAAACCATAGACATACATACCTAGATGCTGCGGTGGGTCCAGCCAGGCACATCAACGGCGCTGCCATTTTGGGACGGTCAACATGGCTGCTGGACTGCATTCAGTACCATTACAGAGCGGCAGTTTATTAAAGATACTGTCCAAAATTATACTATCTCAAGAATATTGCAGTCAAAAAGCTGGATCCCTGATAGCAAGAGGGTCAGTGGGCCACTGTGACCGCTGACGGCAAAGCTGGCAGTCCACTTGCATTTTGCTCAGCACTTTCCAAGTGGCCCACTGGAGGTTAAAGCAGAGTAATAAACAAAATTCCAATTATTCTCGCACATTCCACTCACAGTCCAATTTACTTATTTTCCCTTCCTTTCTTTAATTATACTTTGTAAATTAGTTTAGTACATAATTTTAGTCTAGCACAGTGTCTGCAACATTTTGTATAAAATCATTTTACATTAGGCCTAGTCATCATTATTTTGTTCTCTCAGATGTTTGTAATATTTGTCTTAGTTTATTTTCTAAAATTAAAGTCTCTGTGCATTTAAAATCTGTTTGATATGGAGTTAATTTTGTGGCAAAATGTTTGAGAGAAGATCCCAATGTTTGAGAGAGGAATGTTCCGGTTTGAGAGGGCAGCGGTGCTCTGAGCGCGCAGCTAATGAACTTGAACGCACTTGTCAGCACGAAGTGCGCAGGTAAACACCTGCTCAACAAAACACTTTGGTTTCACTCAAAACTGGAAAACCTGCTCAATCATGCTCTTCACCTTCAAAACTCGCACGTGCCCGCAAATCATTTCTGCTCTCTGTAAAATGTCTGAATGTTTGTGCCAAAACTCCAGCCAATCAGAGCTGCCGAGGGGCGGTTCCTGTCACATCTGCTCGCTGTAAAATGTCTGAATGTTTGTGCCAAAACTCCAGCCAATCAGAGCTGCCGAGGGGCGGTTCCTGTCAGCGCACCAATCATGGCGTCTTTTCTTAAGCAGCTTTATGCCAATTGGTCAAGGTACGTTCGTGGCTGTGGTATTGAGTCGGCTAGTGTGCTTGTAGCGTCGACATTAGGTAGATGGTTTCTGGCTTTCTAGTAGCAAATGAATAGAAACGATTTATCAGTAATACTCTGTCATAAATAATAACGTATTAATCTAACTAACATTGGTAGCTCGGCCATTTGTTCCCTACCAGAGGCTTAACGGTAGCTAACTTCAAATAAACAGCTTAACATTAATCAACTAAGCTGACGTTAACAAGGTTACATTCCCCTCTCAAACCGAGGGTGGACCAGCAGTGGCAGTCAGTGGGATGCCGACCTTATCAAGCCAGGGGACCGATATACGCTTGCTACATATAATGGAGGGAACGCAGCGATCCACACTCATGTTTGTGTGATGCGTATTGTTTGCGTAGAAATGGCCTGTTGGTGTGATTGTTTTTCCTCTGGTTTTATATTAAGCTTATTTCATGTCTATTCAGGGGATCTTAACGTTATGTAGTAGTTACTTATTTAGAATGATGGTTAATACTTTGTAGCTTTAAGTTATAGCATTCCTTAATCCGTGTAGATATTAATAATAGATTAACGTTAGCACCTTCTTACACGATCCTAAAGTTAGCTTCTTATTTGCCAGCTTCTGGTCCAAATTTTCCTGTTCCACCTTAAATGGTGCATCAGACATCTGTTCGAATTTTCCCGTTCCACCTTAAAAAGTGCAGCATTAGGCACCAGAAAGTGACGGGAAAACTCGAACAAGAAGCTGGCGAATAGGAAGCCAATTTTAGTTTCGTCCTTGGGATTATTTTATTTTCATGTGTATTGATTAGAAGTGATTCACACATTGATGGATTTGCTGATGTGTGCGAAATTATGTTTCTACCGGAGCTCGCGCTAAACTCGGGTTTTAACGTCAGGTGCAGACGGAACACTTTTCTGCTGGTGCGGAAGGCTAATTAGCACGATCAGTTATTAAAAAAAATAATAAAAGCTATACCGAGAGCAGTCTGTGCAACCTAGATTAATCTATGTCTGAGGATTATAACAAAACAAATTTGGTGAAAATCGGTTGAGTATTAAGAAAGTTGTGGCCGATTTAATCCTAAAACTCATCATCTCTCAATACAAGTTAACAAGACCGCTCCAACATGGCGGACGCGCAGACGTATCGCCTCAGACAACGCAGCAGCTGTTCTCGAGCAGAACCCGACAAATCCATTCAGCGAATCAGCGCGCAGTATTTGGGCTAGGTGACTAAACACTGACGCGAACTGTTTTAGACAGAATCTCAAATGGCTCTCTTCTTACAAAGTGCAGTACATACGTCTTAAAATAATGGCTGCTGCGCAGTGCACAGTATGCCTAACAAAGAACCACTGTGGATTCAGCCATGTGTGCACTATTCCACACTGGACATAAAGTGTAATATTTGGCTGTAGAAGCCCAAATTTCATAGTTCATGTTGTGCATTATATAGGAAGAAGTGAGTCAGCCTTCTGATTTACCGAGGTGTGATCATATAGAAGGGTAAAACTACCCATTAATGGGCTGTTTTCTTTGCAATTTTCATCACTTTACCTACTTGTTTTATGTTAAACAATGTTAAATATTGCACTTAAAATAAACTTATATCTATTGCATAGTTTTGTTTACCTCTAAAATGACCATTAAAGTTATCTGCTTTTTGCTAAAAAAACAAAATTGAAACACAATAAAATCTAAACTATTTTTTAATAAAGTTTAATTTTGGAAGTTGCCTGTATTTTGTTGTTATTTTTACTTAATCAAAACAACCCAACTGCAGTTTGATTGACATTACCTGGAATACACAATAAAAAACATGATTTATGAAAATCCATTAAAATGGAGATATGTTTTTGCAAATTAGAATTAGTAATTAGAATTAGTAAAAGAAGCTAAAAAAAAATCCAGTATTCTATATTATCTAGCAAAGAAAGAAACACACAGATAATGTTTACTGTAAATCCCATGTGTCAAACTTTTTAATTTTCTATTAATATAAGCTCATTTCACAGTGTGCTGCACTACAGTCCCCAACACGCACTGCAATGTAATGTGCGCTCTGACTTTTCTACCCCAACAACAATCTTTGGGGTCAGCGGTTAAACCTCAATTCTACACCAGTCATATCATCAAGTGCACTAGCTGCATTTTAGCTGCAGTTCAACCAATATAAACACCTAATGTCAGCTCAGCAGCTCAGAAACTGAGCCCAAGCATTAATCTGTCTAATGCAAGCAAATAGGTAGGTTTAAAACACCAAGCACCTGGGGACATTTAAATTTTGAATATTTCAAGTATTCATGTAATATTTCAAGGTCTACTAGAAGTGCCTATATTTTACTACTGCGTATTTTGAACAAACAAGGGCCAGTTCAGCTTATAGCACAACATTAATTAAAAAAGAAAAACATTTTTTCTCTGGCCCACGGATTTGTTGAGATATTTTTAATATGGCCCCTTTAGTGGTTGAGTTTGGCACCCTAGCTGTAAATGCTTAGTTTACCAGGGGGCATTATTTGGCCACGTGTTCTCATCCTGACTGACTATATTGGTACTGCAGTGGATAAACTGCAGCATCATTTTAATGTCCCACAGTTGGTGTTTTACAACCATAAACTAGTCTTAAATGTTGAAAAACTAAATTTATGCTGTTTTCCAGAGCCTCTAACATTGATTTTAGCCCTTTTAATATGCTTTTTTACTATTATACTATACTAGTATATTTTTTACTATTATGATTTTTATTACTTTATTATAACGTGATCTCTTTTTACTTCTCAATCCCTGATTGCTGTATTGCTTGGCTACACTGTAAATGAGCATCTCCCTCAATGTTTAAATAAAGGTTGATTGATTCACATCACACCTAATATACTCTGCTTGTACACATACAAATAAGAGGTTGTCTATTACGTTATGGACTATGCATTGTGACCAAAATAACTCCAGTGCCCTTTTATAGATGGTAGGACTTCAGCTCAGATAAATAAGACAAACTAACACGAGCAGAAAAAGAAGACATTTGGAGAAACAGGTTTGTATTTACCATGACAATACAGTGCTCTCCACAAATATTGGCACCCTGGTAATCATGAGCACAATGAGCTGTGAAAAATGCTTACTTATCCTTTTGATCTTTCATTCAAAATATTAGCAAAAATCTAACCTTTCAAGTGTTATGGTTGAAGAAAAAAACTAAATCTTGTCATGAAATATTTTTCTTCTGTGTGCCACAATTGTTGGCACCCCTAGAATTTCATAAGAGTGAAATCTAACTGAAGTATATTCCCTGTTCATATTTTATGTTTTAAAGTACACCCGAGTGATTAAAAACATTTACATATTTTTAAATCAGCCATGAATTCCTGATGCACCGGGAAATATACACGAGACGAAATGCAGGCCAAATTTCCTTAGTCATCCATCGTTATGAGAAAGACCAGAGAATACAGCAGTGATGTACGACAAAAGGTTGTCAGGAATTGACTACAAGAAAATATTTAAACAGCTTAAAAAGCCCATTTCCACAATCAGGTCAAAAATTAAGAAGTTTAAAACAACTGGGGATGTTAAGGATCTGAAGGGAAGATGACATATGTCTATACTGACCCTATGCACAGTGAGGAGGAACAGTGAGTAGACAAAATAATAAGGATCGTATCAGTAACAAGGGATTAGGTTGCCTTTTTGGTGCTTCTTACACGGTCTACATTTGTACATTGCATATTCTTCTGAGAACAGAAAACTTTCATAAACAGTTGGGAAAAGATATGTCAACAGACTGTATTACTTTCCTCCACTCTTTTAGGACCAGGGGTATTTCACAAAGCAGGATTTCTCAGTTTAGCCAGATAATTTAAGCCCAAAGTCAAGGCCATTCAATAAGAAAAGAACTGAGAGACATTCGTATTGGACAGTGCTCATCTTTGGGTTAAAGTCTACTTTATGGATACTGAGATATCTTGCTTTGTGAAATACCCCCCACGTCATGTGTTTTTGTTTGTAATTAGGTTTGGTTTCAGGGGCCTCCCACATTACAGCTTTCTGCCCTGTAGCACCATTTTCTGGTCCAAAACATCACTGGACTGTTCAAAAAATGTATAGCTCTGTTTTGACACAGTCTGCGACACTTCACGAACAATCAGCTTTTATCGTTTATTTCATCGATTTATGCAATATTTCTTGTTATGTATTTATCAAATACAGAAAAAAACAAAAGTATTTGTGCACTTGAAAAACAGAACACACTGGTTCATTTTTCCTGTATTTAGTTACATGTGAAATGTTGTAAAACCTTATTGCAACACAAAATATTCTATAAAAGAGGTCAACTCCTTTAAAAGGGTAATACAAAACAACAACATGTTAATAACTGTTAAAAATAATGCAGGCAAGCTTAAAATTGTTTCCATATTCACAACAGTTTTTAGAACAGTTGAACAAAGTAAAAACGATATGAAACAATACGTTCACATGTGGAACAGGAAAAAAAAACAAAGCTCAGTGGTCTATCTCAAAAGAATACTGTCATATAACTTAAACCGAAGTTTGTGCAAATATGTCCGCAAATCTATATATTGACAGACTGGCTGCATATTAGCGTTCCGACAAAGTACTTTTGGTCGTAATGAAGGGTAAGCTTCCAACATTTGCCCAAAAGGTAGTGCTTAAAAACAGAACAAAGTTCTAAATGGAGTCAGGTAAGCATAACAAATGTTAAACATAACTGCTGAACATAACTCGGTGACCTAACCATGTTCTACAAAGCAAACAAAAGAAGCCAAGTTATACAGTGAAATGCACTGCAGAGCTATCATGAAAAAATATGAAAACACATTTAGAGTTCTTCAGAATTGTACAATGGACAATGAGACAATGCAAAATTCCTCCATATGTAACAGTGTACCAGTCTCAACTTGTCTTATTAAAAACAAAACAAATACATAACACACCAGGAAATGCTCTCAGCCTCAAATAACACTGAAGACCTTCTCCTGTCTTCTCCTTAATGACACAAGCGCAATCACACACACACACACACACAAAAAGCTACAACTGAACCCCTACTCCAAACACTTTTGTTAACCATGTCACCAAACCAAGTGTATCAAGCTCTTCTTCCTCATCATTTACAGACACACACATTTGTAAAGGGACTTTAGTGAGAGAATGAAGATACAAAAAAAATCTCTACAGTAAAGGTTACCAAAAGATCAAAAGGATCAAGCACCTTGCTCTCTGTTCGCATTTTGCCAATTTCTTTTAGCGAGAGCCCTTTTATGGCAGTTAACAGCTGACTTACTGGACCCTGTATTCAGAACAGTACGCCACCAAGTACAGTCAAAATAGAAAAAGTACCGTTCCCTATTTAGCTCATGGGCAGACGGGAGGGGTAAAGTGGAAAAAAATAACTGTCATCAGGTTTCAGAGCATATCTCTGGAGCATTCATCTGGCCTCAGCCTCACATACACAGAGCAGATCAAATCTGTTTAAAGGGCACATTTTTACAATGCAATGTATTTGTAGGGCACAACAGTTTTTTGGTCTGAGGTCATGTCCATCTTCATTCCTTAAACAGAGGTACTGGTTAGGGCTCTATATCACCACCCCCCTACAGCCAATTTAAAAGGAGAGCAGCATTTTTTTCTTTTTTTGCTTTCAGATGACTGTGCTTCCACATATTGAAGTAGGCAAATATGCTAGCTATTAAGAGAGCATACACAACTGTATGAGGAAGAGCGGTTGCTCTTTAAAGTTCACAGCAAGGTCTGAATCACTTAGAACCCTCCCCCACCCATGCCCAAATTCACCAACAATATTCCGTTTCAATACAATCACACTTCTGTATCACCACTCCCCCACTACCACACACACACACACACGCACACACACACACACACATCATGTTGTACACAGAACAAATACCGCCACAGGATTTCACCAAAAAATAAAAACTGTAACCAAACAAAGTGCAAAACCAAGCTGCCATTAAGGTGGCTATGAAATTCTAACCACAATATGTATATAAAAAGGCAGCATAAATATATATATATTTCGTCAGGAACAGACATTTCCTTTTGCTGGTGCAACAGCGTATAATAGGACAATTACATTAACAACAACAACAACAACAACAACATCCATTTTGTTTCGGGGACACAGGCTTAAGAGTGTTTCCACAGGAAAATCCATGTATCTTTTTCACTCTCTTTTCCTCAGGCAGTCTCTCCCTCATTTTGTGAGGCGGGTGCCAGAGAAAGCTCTAGAATGGCAAAAGCTTGTCACATGGGCTTGGTGTAGCCGAAAATTCCCACAGGGAAGTGCTTTACATGAGTGGGCCACTGGGCTGCCAGCTGAAAAAACTTCACATCGTGCCATTCCACACCATCGATTGAGACTGGACACCAAAAAGAAGGAGAAAGACAAATGAGAACTACATAGGCAAACAGTAAACTCTAAAACATTTTTTTTTAATATGGCACAGATGAAACTGAATAAACTCAATGAAACTTGAAACAAAGTGATATCTGTGAATCTAACATAACATTGTGTATCTTGTTGAAACAAAGAAGTAATACTACAATAGAACCAACAGAGGGCAGTAGGTGACTAAAGCAACTTCCAACAGACCTGTAAATGAAGAAGCAGTCAGTTTTCCTTTGAGACCTCAATGAAATCTATTTTTGCACTTGCTTGTATGGTATGCATGGGCATGTATGCATGTTTAAGATGTTTTTACCTCTCAGCATGGTGTGTTGGTGCTTGGCCGTGCAGATCAGTCTGCTAATACCGTCTATCACCTGGCTCTTGGAGTCCACATCCTTTTCTTTTGGCTTCTTACTGAGGAAAATCACTGCAGAGACAGAGACAAATCACACCCCATCATTTGTTGTGTTAGCTAAAAAAAATCACAAAAAGAAACATCAGCATAGATGACTAACCATTCATACTGTCAAAACAGCATAAAAAGGAACTATGATGCTATAAATCACATATGCTATTACAAACCAGTGTTGGCGTAGGTACTCAAAAGAATGAATCCATCACAAATTACAAAGTACAAAAAACTGTAATAGGATTATGTTACTTATTACTTGCTGTAAAAAGTAACCTCATTACTCATTACTTTATTTTTCTTTACTCTGTAAAACCCACTTGTACCAACTGCACAAGGGAGAACCCAATAGTCCTTTTTTTAGTAATTTATTCAGAAAAAGATAATCACAGTCATTTAAATGACTGCCTTTTGTAAAAAGACACCGACAGTTATGCTGATTCAAATAATGTATGACTGACGCTGTTAGACCGGTCCAATAACAGCGGGCACGAAATAATATCTTATAAATATTATAATAAAATATAAAGCTTACAGAGCTGTTTCCACATGAAAGTTGTGTTCAGCACAGAGATCTTTATTGATCAGTTTCAGATTGGTGTGATTAGATGCTTCTACAGATTGCCCGTCGAGTTCACTTCCTCACTCACAATTCAAGTCACACAGTCAGCTGACACAGGTAGCTGACTATATATTATACATTTACACACACATATGTAGGGAGTTTACGATTTTAAAGAACCACAGGTAATTTATTTTGTTCTCTTATTTTGTTGTTCAAGTAACACAATTCTTATTAAGTCAGTAACTTTAATGTAATGCTATTAAAATATTTCAACTGTAATTTGTTACATCATTTTGTTACAAAGAAAAGTAGTCATATTGCTGTAATGCATTACTTTGTAACACATTACCCCCAACACTTACAAACGTGTGTTATCCTCTCCATACCAGTAATTGTCATGATATAGGTCATAGCATTTTGTGTAATAAAGTGTAAAACAATAAATAGGCACCTGTGATTTAATGATAAATTCACATAAAAAACACACACACACATATATATATATATATATATATATATATATATATATATATATATATATATATATATATATATAGAGCACACTATACCTAATTTAGCCCATTATATCCAACATAAAAAGTAATTTACAGCACCTCACAGAATTGGTGAGAAGCAAAATCTTTCTTACTTTTTATTTGCTTTGACCAGGACACAGCACATTTCCAGGCTTATGTGCCTGACAACAAGATTAGAACCACAAGATGGATTCAGTATTTGTAACATTAGGGGTCAGGATTAAGCCTAGTCGCGGACTACATGGCATTCTGAATGAAGATTTTTCACTGAAAGCCTAGGACGGCTTAATCCCTATCTGGGAAACTTACCATAAATAACTAGAATTAAGAGTTAGGAACGATCACCAAGGGAGAAGCTAGTGTCTGAAGTATTCAGGAATGGAGGACTTGTGTCACCTTTCTTATTTTTCTCCTTCATGACTACTGTCATGGACATGCCAGGCGGAGGGGTGAGCTCTCCTCCGCTGGGGATGCGGGAGACCTGCAGGGAGCGGAAGTTACTCTTCAGTGTATTCTTAATCCCTATGTCTCTCTTCTCTCCCTCCTTCTTCTTCTCTGCACCCTGGCACGTCCAGTAATCCACCTGCAGGCCCATCACCTCTCCACCCGAACCTGGAGAGCTAGACACCAACAAGAAACAAATGAAAATTCTGAAAAATCCAAAAAAAATATTACAGAACAGAAGTGGAGTACTATGCACTCAGACACCAATTTCAATTAGTACACAATTGACACATAGTACATAATGACACAAACTAATCCAGTATAAATGGTTAATAAGAACTTACTTAAAAACTGTAATGCTGAACAAGTTTAATCCCAATGTTCCAGACATCTGCATAAAATGTAATACACGTAAGGGAACCTTTCGCATTGTATCTGGGAGTGTGAATTTGTGCAAAGATTTTGGAATCAAGTCTATTAGTTCAGTTTCCAAAATCGTTGGTAAGATATCCAATATGCCCTTTTGGGTCTTATCCCAGAAACACTGTCATTAAGAAACCACAAATCCAAATTTAATCTCTGCATACTACATGTAAAGAACGTAAACCTGCCCAGTTTTAATCTCATGGATAAGAGAACTGTCCTCATGTTTGGCACATAAGAGACTTATGTCCACACTCAAAAAGAAAAGTACTGTTTTTCTTAAGATCTGTGGTCGGCTTATAAGTTTCCTAAAGGAAGTAAATTAAGTATCCTAGGTACTTTCTCTTGACTGCATTCATCTGTACCGTATGTGAATATTTGTGAATATATAATTGTTTTCCTCTTTTCTCACTTTTTTTCTTTATTGTACATGAATATAAAGATGGCTACAAGGTTAGGAATGGGTGTGTATTGGGAGTTTAGATATTCCCTGTTTGCATTCCTTGTTTTGAAATGCATAATCCCAGTTTTGTTACACAAAAATCAATAAATATGTTTAAAAAAATCCAGAAAGACTTCTATGAAATCAGTAAAAAAGTGGTTATCTTCAGTAGACAACAGTACTGTTTCTTTCATATCCTTTATCTAAAAGTTTTGATAAAAAGTGTAAACTTCATTTTCTTTACAGTTATGTGTGCTTTGTGAATGTAAGAAAGAAATTGAAAGCATGTGTGCGAGAGTGATAGAGAGAAAAAAAAGAAGAGAGAGAGAGACAGAGAGAAGGGTGTGTTGTACCCTGCTCCAGAGAGACTGGCAGAGACGGAGGGAGAAGAGGGTGGAGTGCAGGTGATATCTTTCCCATATGGCACCCCCGTCTGGGCTGGAGGTGAAGATAGCATGTTCATACTGCCCATCATCATGGCATCATCAGAGTCCACTACAGAGAGCACACAGTCACACACACAGGCCCATTAAATCGTTATCTGTGTTTAGGGGCAGGCAATGTGATGATATGCCCACCTATCATTAGTGTGATTAACTAGATCACAATATGCTTTCTTTAATGGAACCCTGAATTATAACATTGATGTAATGTCAGATATTATATGCAGTCAAGAGTTGTCATTACAATTTATATCACATGCTAATTTTTGGTGTGTACTCTAGTTAGCTCTAAAGACATCAAATATCACATATGTCATGACAATTACCAGTAATGGAAACATTAATCTGTCATGACAACTCATGACAGCATCTGCTAAAACTTTTTAATGGCATGGTTATGCCAATGTTATGCAGCAGGTATTATGTTACTTGCATAAAACTGCATTTTTTTGTGTTCTGAAATAGAAATGTTTGACCAATGGCCATATACTAGAAAAATAAACTTTACATCAGTTCTCTGTTTGTGGTTGTGTGGGCGTTTGTAGGCTGGTGCACATACAGATCCTACCTGAAGTGGACAGGTTGTGCTCAACAATGCCTACTTTCACCAACTGTGAACAGACAAGCAAAGATATTATGCATAAGTCATAGCTTCTTTCTAATGAACAGGAAGAACATATTTTCAATCTGAGAAAGAGTCCTACCAATCTGCAGTGGTTCAGGGAAAAAAATTAAACAAGCGACTCTACACTCTTACCCCAATGAATGGCACAAACTTCTGACAGGAGTCCTCATCAGGGCTATGTGAAAAAAAGAGTAAAGGACCATTAGAACAACTCAAACTCCTACACAGATCTAACGCTATGGTGGTCCGTGAAGGCAGGATGCGTGCTCGGGTGTCCATGTGTAAGGGAGGGAGCATGTCACATCTGACTGAGTGAGGCATGGTGGTATCCCCTGGTGGCAGGGTGCTGTGAGGTCACAGTGAAGAAGCAGGGGTCATGCCATGTAGTCATGAGAGGATGCTGCAATAGCCACTTACAACCTCCACCAATTAGGCGTGGTGTAAGGCCTTGGACACCAGAAGAAATGGGGGTTGGCCTGGGGCCTGCACTGACTTTCAGGGTGTTTGAGTTATGTGATCGATACAATGACTGCTTCATGGTCTGCTTCCACCACCTCATATTACAGATGTCTTTTGGCAACAAAATCATGAAGCTGATCTCAGTGAGAATTAAGCCCCACTCCTGAGCAGCCATGTAAATTTTAAAAAATTATATATTGAGTATGCTAAGAACTGCATTTGTGGAGGACAGCTTTACTATGCTGTACTGTTATCTATAATGACAGCACATCAAAGTGCCTCAGCTAAGATGATCATAAAGCTGTAGTCTTGTGCAGAGGAAAAGACTGCTCTGTGACACTGACTGCTGACGCCTTCTTTCTTGACAAGGCACCTGCGTACTGGCAGTGTTCCAGCTGTGAAGGGAAAAAGTCACCCATCTGCTGTCTAGCCCTATTTTTGGCCTCTCTCTTTATTTTCTCCATCAATCGATGTTAATCTCATTCTGTCACTTTTACATCACTTTTAATACCCTACCCTCTCCATCCTCCTCCATCTGCTGCTACCTCACTCTCTTTTTATTCTTTCTTTTATGTGGAGTGGTAATTGGCTATGCAACCTTTCTTCGTGCCTATGTCCTTACTCTAGGGAAAGGCAGACCTTTCCAGACTAGTTATCTGCCCTGAGTCTCTCACTCTGGCTTGTGTGCTTGTTCGCGTGTGTTAGTAAAAGCTTAATCTTTCAGGTATTAAAAATTCTCATCAGTCTTGTGTGTATGGAAACCTCTCATTTTTTCCTGTTATTGTGGCGTCCTATCTTCTTGAAAGACGCATTACAATATCTATTTTTTTAAATATTAACTTACGGTGAAAAAGTTTGTTAAGACACTACAGTGCACTCGCTCAAATCAAACCAGACCAAAAAAAATATAAATAAATAAATAAATAAACAAAAGAGACAAAGATTAAACATAAACACACATTAGAATTAGGACTGATGCAGACGGCAGTGTGACACACTAAGTGTATGGTTGGGTTAGACATGAGAGGGGCAAACTGGGAACGTCAACCCACACAGAATCAGATACCTGATGTAAAAATCAAAATACAAACTTCTCTTCCTTGAGTGCCAACATAAGAAAAGAGGGAAAGAAACCCAAAGCACAACAGCATTACAAAAGCGTTCCTTGCCATTTATCACTACTTTGTCAATGGCAAAACTAAAACACATAAAACAACTGACAAAGAACAGAATCAACAACTCAGAAGTTCATTTAAAAACTTATGGAACATAAAAAATAAAAATAAATAAATAAACCATCAGTTTAAAAATCATGTTCATAATAACTTCTGGGCATATTTTTTTAACCCTCGGAAACCCAAGAATTACTTACTCTGGTTGATGAATTTTCATTTTTAAACTGTTTTTATAAGGCCACTTACCATAAAAAGTATAGATGTTTTCATACATTTTGCTTTGTGGTGGATTTTGGGGAAATGTTGAAAAATTGCAACCATGGGTTTTAAAGGTTACAAAATTTTCTTAATGTGATTTTAACAGCTTAACTGTATCTGATACTCATATATCAGATACTCATCTGCACCAAAACACCTGATGCTTTTTATAAAGTACCTGAAAGTTACCTGATGAGCTGGATGAGGTGTGTTGGGAATGGAAAATACTTGAAAATGTGCAGGGCACAAGGTCTACAGGACCTGGAGCTGGATCCACTGATTATAATGGAGTAAATGGGGCCAATGTGTGAGTTATACTAAAAAGTGGTCAAAATTGAGGCAAATGGTTGCATTTTTGCAACATTCACAAAAACTGACTCAAATTTTTGTATCTTTTACTTATTTGTTTTTCTTTTTTACTGCTAAACAAGAATGAAATAACACATAACCACACATTCAAAAAGACATAAGATTACCTTTTCTGTTTGTAGGTAAGCATAGCTTCAGAGATGGGGAACTGATGGGACACATTCGCCCCAGCTAGGTACTGAGACACTCGGCCAGCCACATCAATATTGTCTGTGGAGACAGAAAGCAAATGTAAGCTGTCACATTTATTACACATTTAACTCTACTTAACACTTACAATGCACAAGTCCTAAATACATTTTACTATAACTGAATAAAGTAAACATAAAGCCCTGGGCCGAACCTGACGTTGGGGCCTCTAACCTCCCAAATACATCTCTCCAGCCGGCGTCCAGGAAGATGTTACTGAACTTGTTATCAAAAGATGAGATATACTTCGCCACAGGGTGACAGCCTGCACAAAGTTTAAAATCACAGAGCAATGAGCGGGAAAAAAAAGCAGATTTTTCCTTTTTTCAATTTTGAGTTTCCTTACCGACTGGGATGACCAGGAAGCGGATGTAGCTCAGCCAATCAGGAGTCTTGTTAGCGAGCTGTTCCACAAAGCACCGCAGCACGGTGCTGAGGTAACTCTGGTCACCTGCGACTGCCACCTTAATTGTGGGGGGTGTCTGTGCGTTACAGTTACAGCTGAGGAAGAAAGCAGTATATCTCATGAAGCAAGGATAAAACCACTCCATTGGGCATCTCTGTTCCAAGAGTTCCCTCAGCAATTTGCCAATCAATGTTGAGAACTTCTGAACCTGCCCATGGTGCTTAGCAACAGTTGCTATGCATAAGTGCACTGTTGGTCAGGAAATCAAACAATCAAAAGCACTGACCTTTTTAAGACACATCTGAGGTTTATATCAAGAGTGGTAAGTGGCGGCTATAACAAACGAAAACTCAAAAATAGACCCTTACAATCTCTGGATCCTGGTGACGATAGTGTTGAAGGCAGCTTGAACATCAGCAGCGGAGATGGTGGAGACAATGGGCTGATTGTGCTCATGTAGGATCTCATTCAGATACTGGACAGAAAGAATGAAAGAATGAGAGAATGAGAGAGAAAGAGAGAAAAGGGGAGAGAGAGAAGAAAATGTTACAAATAGAGACAGATTAAATGTGGTAGTGCCCTTGGTAAGATTAGTAGTTCTGGAAGAGATACAGCTAGCCTAAAACTGCAAGTGCAAGTCAGCGTACTGTCCAAACAAATATATAAATATACAATACTGAGTTCCCTAGTGCTGTAGAAACAAGAAAAAAAAGAGAGCGCCGTAACATCAGCTGCCTCATTTTGCTGCAAACAATAACTGGAAAAATAAATTATCAAGAAAAAGTAGGACAATTAGCAATAAGCATCCATTAAAGGTCTGGAAATAAGTAGAGAATTATTAATTATAGCACGATAAATATGGGTGTCCTTAACATGGCAGTAACAGTAGTCTAGTTCATAGCTGGAGCAGTGTAAAGTGCAGGCAGCACTGCAGGAGCAGGAAGAGCAAAGGACTGGATTTACTGCAGGGGCTCAAGGACATGGTGAGAGCACCACCTGCTCACAATCACTCAATACACACACACACAAGTACATATACACAGGAAACATATCTAAATAGCTGAAATTAATTTCAATCAAAAAATATCACAGACACACCTGGCCCTGCCAGTCGGTAGTGTTGATGAGTATGATATTCTCAGGTAGCTGCTCATCAGAGTTGAGAATCTGATTGAGCTGGTCGTACACTGACTTTCTGGGAACCTGAAACATATGTAGAAAAGAGCATACTCAAACACACACAAAACCAAGGATGACAAATTATAACAATGCAAGTATTTTTTTAATATGTCACAAACATACCTGTACTGAGAGTCTGGAGTCCGGTGAGGTTTCACTATCAATGCTACTGGTTCGGTCGCTCTGAGCTTTCGAGTTCTGTCTGTCCTTCATAGAGGTGCTACGGGGCCGTCTCTGCAGCTTGCTGTCAGTTTTACTGGAGACACAAATTTTACTTTATTATTTTTCAAGGACATTTCGCCATAACTCTAGCAGCGACTCTTAACCTTCATCCACTCAACTAAGTTTACCATTCTACAAACTGCAATGCAAAACCTCTGATTTCATGTTTGGCTGGGTGATTTTACACAATACATTAAAAATGACTTTTTAAAAAATGCTGCCTGCAGAGGTGGATCAATCATTGATTAGATTTTTTTTCCCCAAAACACACACAGTTAATTGAAATACATTTTTAGATCAGAAGCAGTAACCCCCACTAGTTTTGCACCAAACTGCTGCACTGTAAAATTGTGCTTCAACTCAGGAAAGTTAGTTGCCAGGACGTCTTAAATGTTGAGTTTATTGAACTTCAACTTCTGTTGACTTTTGGCAGTTAACAGAACTTAAGACATTGATTCTTGTTTGCTAACTTACTATTTTACAGTGTGAAACTTGCAAAGTGCAAAGCTACAAGACACTAAAAACTACACAAAATATGCCCACAGTGTTTGGCTTTCAAATTGTTATAAAAAAGAGCTGCAGAAAGAAAAAAAAATAAGAAAGACCTCAAACAACTTTCCTTGCAGTGTAAAGAATGCTCGAAATCAGGGCAATCATGAGTGATGCCAACATTCGTTTAAATTTAAGTAAACATAGTACCACAGTATTTTAAGTGAATTGTCTCTGGTGCAGTGCATGGTGATCATGTGATCTAATGTTACAGGGATTCAAACAATGCTGCTGTGAGGGAGCTTACACATACTTTATGTCCTAAAAAAAAGATAACACCAATATCTTTGTCCTTTGTCTAAATACAGGCCCTTAAACATATGTGTGCCATAGGCGGAAAACTGACTTAAAAGTTCTGTATCAAAACTGTAAAGCAGACTTATGTGTCATTAATATAATAATGATGCCAAACACCAAGAAATGTTATTATTTTGCACTAGACATTGTTTTCTGATCATAACAGTTTTTATTTTTATTTGGATTACTTACTGGATTATATATATGTATATACACATATTCCTTCTCAGAACCAACCTGCACTGACCTAGAAAAATACCATAGAGGTCTATTGGTTGAAATGTTCAACATAAAACTAATTCAAAGTTTAAGCACAAAACAATAAAATAACAGTTCTTTATCATTTAATATACTCTGTGAAAAATAAGGAATGATAATAATAAATAAACGAAATTAAATACAAGAAATACAAAATATAAAACATAAAATGACAGGCCAACAAGAAAATCATTTCATATTTCAACATCAAACATCAGTATAAAGTGTTTTTTGCAATTCTTATAAATCTTTCATTAAATGTATAAATGTGTTAAGCTATTTAACATTATTTTTGTTAATATTTTTGAAAAACAAAGTCTAAAAACTAATGTCAGTGTCACTTTTGTGCTGATAATCGTCCATCATATTGGGTCCATCACATTGGGTCAGCTGTGGTTCAATGGTCCATTGATGGTTTTGGCACTGAATGATTTGGAAGGAGTACCTGATAAAAATACTACATGGTTAAAAGTATGTGGACATGCCTTGTAATTAGTGGGTTTGCCTGTTTAAGCCACACCTATTGCTAACAGGTATACAAAATCAAGTACATATCCATGCAGTTTCCATAGACAGTCTAAGTAAAATGGTACTGAAGAGCTGGGTAACCTTTTGAAGTTGCACTGTTATAAAATGCCTTTTCATCAAGTCCGTTTGTCAAATTTCTGCCCTGCCAGAGTGGCCCCATTGAACTGTCTGTGCTGTTACTGTGAAGAAAAAGTCTAGAAGCAAAACAAACGCGCAGTGGTGGGCTGCACAAGCATACAGAACAGGACCGAGTTCCAAGTCACCTCTGGAAGCAACATCAGCACAAGAACTGTTTGTTAGGGGCTTCATGGATGGTATCTATAATGACTACAGTAGCACAGCAGCAGAACATAAGCCTAAGACCACCTTGTGCAATGGGGAACATCAGCTGGAGTGGTGTAAAGCATATCACTATTGGACTCTGGAGCAGTGGAAATTCATTTTCTGGAGTGATGAATCATGCTTCACCATCTCGCACTCTGACAGATGAATTCAGCAACAACAACAATAATAATAACAGTAACAACATTAATAATAATATTAATAATAAATGTTTGTTTTTAAACATTCTGTCATAGCAGTAATCTATGTTTTATTATCTATTTACCAATTTTTTAACTGGTATTATGGAGGCAACATATAATTAGTTATTGCCAGCAAATAGATTCAATAAGTAAGATATAGTTTCTGTCTACAAAGAAAATGCCTTAGTTAGTAAGATCAAACAAAGTTAATTAGGTCTTACACTGAACTATATAATGAACAGTTTTAGGATAAAGCCTGTTAGTTTAATATATCTAGGTAGTTGTCTATATTTCTAGATGTTCTTGTTGGCCTATCATATTTTGCATTTTTGTATTGCATTGTTATTTATGTATTATTATTTATTATTTATCACAGAATATATTAAAGTATTACTGTTTTGTCTAATTCTTTGAATTACAATTGTTTCAAAGATTTGTATTAATCTATACTTTGTGTTAATTGTTTCAACCAATAGACCTCCATGGTATTTTTCTGGGTCAGTGCAAGTTGGATCTGAGAAGGAATATATATAAAATCCTACACATAATCCAAATATACAATCCAAAAAACTATTGTTTTGATAAAAAAACGTCTAGTACAAAATATTGTACTACAAAAAATAACTGTTATATTAATAGCACAAAATAATGCTTTACAGTTTTGGCTTTACAGTAAAAGCCAGACCTGAATTACACAAATTATGCAGTGAAATATTTTTATACACCCATCCATTTCACAAACTAGAGATATCAAATTTATATAAAAACATGTTTTTGCTTTGTTCTGCCTTGGGTGGGGGTATCTCAAAAACTAAGGCCTTTTTGGGAATTCTGTCTTATACTAAATGGTAAGCTGTCTTAAAATGAAGTACAGCTTAATGTAACTCTGTGCTGACTGTCTAACCAGCTATTTTTCAAGTCGATAAAACTCTAAACTTGCTGTAACTTGTGATTCGTATTACTAGCGCTGCTTCCAAGCCTCCCAGCTCAAAGTAGTTAGCTAACGTTAGATAGTTAGCACAATAGATTAACAATAATAAGAATGCTGGTTAACTCATGTTGAAAAATCTTTTTGAGAATAACTTATGAATGTCAGTGACCTGAATCTGAGTTTTTCCTCTCTATCTATGCTGAGTGTCTATCTAGTGACCTGTTTGAAGCCTAGCCCATTAGCTTTACTCAGCTGCACTTCTGCTTTACTGTTGCTCACACCTCTCACATTGGAGCTTTTATTTTATTCTGGACCAAAAGGATTTTAAAAGAAAACAGCACCTAACAAACTGATGCTAAATTTATTAACGTCAATTGCAATTCAGTTATACCTGAAGTTTTCAAGGCTTTTGGAAGTTCTGATTGAATTACACTGATACCTTTTACTCCTACTATTCAAGCTGTGTTTTGCTAGGCTAGGCTTCTGATTGAGTCATTATTCCATTAAAGTAACTTTGTATGTTACGGTAATACTTTTACTTGAGTATGGGTTAAGGTTTACACACCTCTGACAAAATCCTATTCATAGCTGCTTATAAAATGTGAAAATAAATATTCTGTACAAAGTGTTAAGAATGTTTGTGTTTTCCCTTTTAAGAAATTTATCATCAAGATTTGAACACCTATCTATCCATGCATCACTCTGGCTTAACTGGTACTTGATGCCTTCTGTCATCTTTCGGAGTGACCGTGTATATAAATCATATCGTCAGTCATATGACTGCATTCTGTTCTTATTTGCTGATTAAATTATGCATATGTGTTTATAACATCTCTATTTTTACCAGCAAATAAACTGTCTACCACTGGAAAATGTACAAAGTTTTACGCTTTCCTGGCGATTCTATTTAACAGTTTGCGTTTCCATTAACACTTTTTATTCAATATGCCAAAATGTGCACAAAAATATGTGGATGGAAACCCAGCTAATGACAGTGTGTGTCCTTGTTCAGTAATGAGATATAGCATGTTTCAAACAACTTATTAGCTAGTAAGGATGATGTTTGTGCTTTTTTGTTTTTCTCTTTATTTTTTCCCCACAAGTTAACTTTATGGAGTAAAATCTTCAACACTGCACTATTCTGAGACGCAAAATGGTAGCAGTTCACATAATATGGGTGATGTGATTAGACAGTTTGGCATTTATTCACATTTAGAAATATTGGCCTGATGTTTCTTTGCTGCATGGAGTGTCGTTTCTAATATTATGTAAATGGGGTGTCCCCCCATTTGCGGCTAAGAATACTTTGGCTAACGTTCACATTACAAGCCTCATTGCTCAAATCTGATTTTTTGTTCAAATCCAATCTCTCTGAGATGATGGTACACACTTGTTTAGGTAAGTGATTCAAATCTGTCATTAATGTGAACGAACCGGCATCCTGAAATGACCTGCATGTGCACATCCTACTCAGTAATGTCACGTGAATGAATCACGTGCATCATCAGCAAACAAACTAACAAACAGAACAAGCCTTCGCTGCGAAGATAATTGAACACTGAACAGCTCTCAGCTTCATTATTAGAGCGAGATGAAGGTGAAAGGGTGAGATGTGTGGCTTTTCCACCATTTACAGGCTTTAACATCTGTTTGGCACTGCTGCCATGGTAACGCTGAATGATGGTGCATGCGCAGGGGAAAAAAAAGCACATGAATTCTGATCTGAGCGTTCTCATTAAGGTCGCATGGCCACGAATCGGATATGTATTCGATCTAGACCCACATATGAAAGTGGATTTAAGTAGTGTTGGAAGGTTACACATATAATACTGCTGTTACGTCTAACGACGTACTGTGTAAATATGTTTTTTTTCTTCTCTCTTGCGTTCCATTGATCTCTGTCTCTAACAGTCTTCAGGTGTTGCTGCTGATGAAGGTGAGGTGTCATGTGCTGACTGGCTGAGCTGAGATCAGAGGAATAACAACTGCAAATATTATGATTGTGTACTATAGATAAAAACCTTGCATATTAGCGGTATGTGACATAGAATGTTAAGCATGTATTGGATACATTTTATTAAATACTTAAAGTACATACTGAACCAGTACTGCAGAAGCACAAGAAGGATTCAGCAAATGTCCTTGACTGTATTTGTGTATATACTGATTATATATTGGGACTATATAAATTGATATACTAATTATGTGATTAAAGAGCACACAGTTAGTATTACAAACATAATTTTAGCACAGTTTAAATGTATTTTTAGAATTCAATTTGGCTGCACATACTAGTACACTTAAATTATATCTTAAGAGTGGTGAAAATAACACATGACTAATATACCTAGTATACATAAAGCATGACTTAAACATAATGAATACACATTAGTAGTGATTTAGCACAAATTAGCGGCTCCAATACAACGTAAGTATATAACCAAACTCTTTTAAGCCCCTTCATGAACATTAAGCAAAATGGCTTTAAAAATGTTTTTTTTTATCCTATTGCATGGCTGATCACAGATCAGTCTATCAAAGCCTCCCCATGTAGAGTTTTTCAAACTGGGACTGTAAGTAATAAAAAGACTGGATTTTAAGTTGAGAGTTTGGGTGGAACACACCTGTATATTAAACACTCGAGGCAGAGATTTATTCCTTCCATAACAGAACTATTACATCTCACTATTATGCAACTATACATCTAAATCACTTTAACACAAATACTATCCATCATTACAGTTTCACAAGAAGCAAATCCAAGTCATCCATGGGAGACATGTTTCCCTTAAGCCCAAGAAATACTGGATAAGCTCAAAAAACTGGAATTACTGAATCACTGGAGATCTCCACACTCATTAAATAGCATACAGTGTCTGTTAGCCAAGCATGTAGAGGATTTCAACCCTTAATGAGTTCCTTAGCCAAATGAAGCACAAATACACACACACACACACACACACACTGTCTGGCAGCAGTTTCAGCCATGCCTCACAGCTCTCAAGATAGACGAGCGTACATTACATACTAGACAGTGGACAGATTTCATTCCCAAGAGAAATTAAGGCAACTGCCCCAGATATAAATTGACCTCTAAGCAAATCATAGAAGAAACTAATGTTATAGGGGTTTTGTTTATTGTACCTGTTTAGTAAACTGAAAGAAAGAAACAAACTAAAGAAAGAGATAAAGAATTGTGGTTTCAACAGTACCTAGGTGACATGTGGGTTTGAGACTCAGTCTTGCAGAGTTTGCCCACTGAGCCAGCCAGTTTATCTGTGCTGATGTCCCAGCTCATGTTTGCATCACATGGGGCACCTCCTGCTCCAGCGTCCTCCTCTGTTGTCTCCTGCAGAGACAGATCAGCATCACACCATGCAAGAGTGCTTCTGCATGAAATCCAAATGTTGTCATGGTGACAGCCACTTAGCCAGACCATGGGCAATGAATCAGAATGAAAGCACACAGTCGCAGACGTTCTTGAGAAGGTGTTTTTGCACAAGCGTGCGCGAGAGAGGAAGACACTACTAACATATTTAACAACTCTATTATTCTATACAATAGCTACCTTTTCTTGTGCTCCTGGGACTGTATTGCATAAACTTCTTAATTCTGAAATCTTATCTGTTTAGTCACCATGACAACCTTAAACTGCTTGATCAAAGTCAACAATCAACTATCATGGCTGTCACCTAGCAACTGACCAAATGTGCACAGCTAAAACGTAAACACGTAATCAAAATAATCAATTTAGTTACCAGATAGCTAGCTACCGTTACCGTTACTGGTCAAACAAAACTAAAGCACGATAAACTGGAGGTTAAAAATATTATGACAGCGCTCCGTGCTGTTTATCAGAGCATTGCCACTCCACAGTTTCAGTTTCAGTTTCCCAAGAGCTTTAGCTGACCACGCTATAGATAAATGTAGTGTCATCATGCTAGTTGTAGTGAACTATGCTGCCTTTCACTGCATAAAACGGTAGAAACAGACAGTCAAAACAGAAGTTAAAACATCTCTGGCGCTGTGTTAAAGTTAGGACAGAATTTAGGAAATTTTGTCTAGTTAGGATGTTTCTATAACATTGTTTTCTTATCTGGAGTTAGGATAAGATGAACTTAGGAATTGCTGTCTTTTGTCCTTAATTCAGTCCTAACTGAAGTTGTCATGGTGACTAAGCAGATAAGATTTCAGACTTAAGAAGGTTCTGTAATACGGCCCCAGATCTCTAACTCGACCATTTTCCTTCACAGCCTACAACACAACACATAGAACGAGAAAAGGAGTGAGAGTGGGTGGGTATTTACTGAGGAGTGTAAGACTGGAAAAAAGAAGGACACTAACCCCCACTGCAGAGTCCACCACTAAAGCCTCATCCTGGTACCGCCCAGTTGCAGCTCTGTCTTTTTCTACTGTCAGCAGGTCTCCAACCTATACATACACACACACATACACACACACACATACAGGACAAACAGTGAGTAAACTTCAGGATCTCGGGTCACCAGTGGAGATCTGTACTGAGAGGAAATGGAGTTTGGTTTTCATTAAAGGCTTACAGCAGAAGACTGCTCTCTAGGCTGACTCTTCTGACTGTGCAAACTGCCAATCTCAGTTTGGGAGCTGGAGTGAGACATTCCCTCAAAGAACGGCCTGGAAGACACCACACCAACACACATTTTTCAATATTCTAAACACAACATTATAATTAGGCAAGAGAACAGGAGAGAGAGAGTGTGAAAGCGAATGCTGTAGATCATCACAGCTCTGATGTTAACACATATTTGAGTGTTCTACTGCTTTTATACAAAAATTTTGCAAAATAAAGAAAAATATATGCCAAAAAGCCCTAAACATTGTATCTTTAGCTTTAATAGTGGCAATTCCATTCACCCAAAAAAGTAGTAGCCTTTTGCGTTATGGATAGACCCATAAAAATATTACAATATCAAGTTCAACTTAGCTTTTTCTATACCTGCTTGATTATCCTGAATCTAGCCAGTCTGTAAAGCAATTCACAGCCTATTCTGTTTGCCAATTTGTATTTTATTTGTTTCTGACAAATTCCAATTTGTGCAGTTATTACACCGTCACAGCTGCCAACTGAAAAGTTTGCTTAGGGGTAATGTTAGATGCGGAATTTGATTTAGTCTTGCGGTCACAGGAATGATACAGTGTTTGTGATGGAGCACTGGAGTCTCATTGGAACTGTTGTATAACATTTTGAATTGAATGCAACCAAACATTTAGGAGATGAATGCCAGACAAAGGTGAGACTTGTACATTACCTACGACAGGTGTTTAGATCACTCAGTGAAAATGCTTCTTACTTGAGCTTAGGTTTTGGGGTGCTGAGAACACTCTCGTTGTCTTCCATCTCAGGGCCACTATCACTCTGATTATACACCTCTAGACTGTCATACAGCAGGTCCAGATCCTCTTCCACTTCTTGGGTCTGATCCACTGGGTCCGAATCCAGAACCTGAGGCCACAAACACACCCACTTATGTCTGTCTTATAGGTTTCGGAAGGTGTTACATGCAAATTCCACAGCACTGATATTTGCTGAACAGTAAATGGAGCAACTGATTACTTGTCTAATTGATTTTAAGAATTGAAAAAGAGTTTCTTCACATTTCATTTACAAAGCAGGACCCTGACAGATGCTGTGTTGGAAATTCAAAAACATTCCCTGAAGCTCCTTATACCTTAGCATCATTAACTGCAATTGACTATAGCATCTGTGGAGTCAAAACTGACATTATAGCTGGATGCTGCTCGGTTTCATAGCTGCAACAATGACTGTGGAGGATATGTATGATTATGGAGGCTACTGCAACATATTTCAGCGACATTTATTTCAGACTTCTGTTCTTTAATCAAGTTTATCTGTCATTGCACATAGCCCACTTTCTAGAATATGTCTTATGACTAACAAACTCAGAGAAAGCTAAAGTAACTATCAGTGGAGATGGCATTTAGACACTGATTAATAAAGTAATGAACTGTCTGAAGGCTTCAATTATATTTCAAATTTCAAGTCATATTTCACATCTGATCAACAATGCTGGCCCAGCAGGAGACCATTATGAAGCTAGTGTTAGGACATTAGTTCAGGCAGAAGTTTAGGTACAGGTGTCTTGGCAGTCTCTTTCAGCATTTTAAAGGATAAGAGAAAGTGCAAACTGCATGCAAGAGGGCAAGAGAAAGTGATAGTGGAAACTGTAAAAGACATTTTGTGTCTTGACTTGTGGCAAAGGAGGCAGTGACAGTGCCGCGTTTAAAGCCACTAAGCTCTTCAGTACGACCAATTCTACTGTCAATGTTTATCTATGGAGATTGAATGGCTATGTGTTTAATTTTTTATACCTGTTAGCAATGGGTGTGGCTGGAACACCTGAACTAAATAATTAGGAGGGGTGTCCACATAGTGTACGTTAGTGTGTTATTGGTCTGAGCAACTTCACAGGTCAAGTTAAAGGTCACAGAGCAATCCGTTCATACTCAATGTACTCAGAGTACCAAGGATCTTCCACCTGGCTCAAAATGATAATTACAGGGGAAACCAAATATGTGATGTCCTTTAAGGCTGTCAAAAAAAAAAACAGGATTCCAGAAATTAATGAAGACTGAAGACCGCTGTGCTATTAAGGGCCATCAGGGAAGTTGTTTCCAAAGATAGAAATACCCAAAATGTACAACCACCAACTTATTATTAATATGCTATTAAAAAATAACATGAAGAGCACTGTCACAGAAACCTTTCAAACATGACATGATTCAGTATAAGAAACATTAGAATTTGCTTGTCTTTAATATGTAATGTCTGGAGTACTGTTTGAAATTACAGATAGAGGATATTAATTCTCAGTTTCCTTAATTTTTTTTATTCATTGTTACCATTGCTATGTTGTCATGGGTCTTCAGGTCCCAACAACTACCAAGGAAATATTCAAAGACAAAACTTCATGCCTTCATTTTAAACGGTTATATTCAGAACCACACAACTGTTTCATCAACTCATCAAACAAAACTCAATTAAGTCTCTATTAAGTCCCTGATAAAATAATTCCAATTTCCAGAGCAATTACAAACTACTTTTAATATTAGACAAAGATAACCCAAGTAAACACAAAATGCTGTTCTTAAATGATGAGTCCATTTATTGAAGGAAAAATGCAGTTCAGCTCTGCCTGGCCCTATTTGAAAACGTTACCCCCCTTTGCTACTAAATCAACCAGTTAACCAAATTCAACTGACCACTGGGTTCCATTTCACATACCCAGCCACACCCAGGCATGATTACTGCAAGACTTGTTGAATCTAAACACCACTTAAATAGAACCTGTCTGGAAATGTGAAGCATGTTAGAAGGTCTCAAAAAGCAGCATATGATTCAAATACAGATGCAAAACAAAGTCTATTTGCTGAAATCTACCAGTCTGGAAAGGGTTACAAACCCATTGCTAAGGATCTGGCTCTATTATCCACAAATGCAGAAAACTTGGAACAGTGGCGAACCTTCCCAGGAATGGTCGGCCTACCAAAATTTCACCAAGAGCGCATTGGCGACTCATCCAGGAGGTCACAAAAGAACCCAAACATTTAAAGAACTGAAGGGCTCACTTGTCTCAATGAAGGTCAAAGTACACAATTTCACAATAAGAAAGACACTTTCTAGATGATCCCCAAGACTTTTCGAATAATACTCTGTGGACTGAGTCAAAGGTGGAACCTTTTGGAAGACATGGGCTCTGTTACATCTGGCGACTGCATTCCTTCAAAAGAACATCATACCAACAATCAAACATGGTGGTAGTATTGTGATGGTCATGGGCTGCTTTGCTTCTGCAGAACCTGGACAACTTGTCATAACTGATGAAACCATGAATTCTGCTCTCTATCAGAAAATCCTGAAGGAGAATGGCCAACCATCAGTTTGTGACCTAAAGCTCAAGCGAAGATGGGTTATGCAGCAGGACAATAACCCGAAGCACACAAGCAAGTCCACCTCTGAATGGCTCAAAAGAAACAAAACTAAGGTTTTAGAGGAACCCAGTCAAATTCCTGACTTGAATCCCATTGAGATGCTGTGGTAAGACCTTAAACGGGCAGTTTGTACTCAAAAACCCTTCAGTGTAGCTGAATGAAAACAATTCTGCAAAGAGTGGGCCAAAATTCTTCTACAGCGATGTAAAAGACACATCTCAAATGACTGATTGCAGTTGTTACTGCCAAGTGTGGAAGAACCACTTAGGGGGCAATTACTTTTTATATATATCACCTCAGGTGAGTCTTCCAGCAATGCTTTCATTATCCCTGGCAATGATGTCGGTCAGGTGACGGATTGAGGGCAGTCAGGCAGCACAGTCTGGTGGTAATGTGTTATCATAATGTCCTTACTTTCAACTAGCCAGCTGAAGCTCTGATGGCCTAAAATATCTAGGTCACTTCCTGTTTGAGTCAGGGATAATGTGAGTGCGAAGCTGCTGGCCAAAAGCGTAGGGCACATGGTTAATGCTACAGCAAATGCCTAACAAGACTAAACTTGTTACAAAATTACAAAGACCCTAGAACAACAAGGCTAAGCATGGCTACGTTCACTGTCCCGCAGACTCTCTTCCAGAGTAATGTTCTCTGGGATGGTCATTTTGGGGTTATGTGTATGAGGCTAGAGTATAGGCAACAAAAAACACTCTTCTAAGATGAACACTTATTGCAACAACTACCTTCTGTTTTCCGCCCACACTTGTGTTCCGATAACATGCCAAGAATACATAGCTTTGAATTCATGTTTACAACTGGGACTGATCCAATAATGGTTTCATTTGATGGGGCGATAATGTGTTCATAACAGACGAAATGTCAAGGACTCTGCGGTAGTGGCTGGCAGGACAATTTCTTGCATTCTACTGTATCTGAGGGTCATACGAAGCACTCACCTCGTCTGATACTTTGAATCTCTTCAGAAGGGCAACAAACTTCTGCTTGAAATTGGGTTGCTGGAAAAGGAGAAAGAAAACAATTAAGTATAGCTCCACCTTTTAAACACATACAACAGAGAAAGAGACGTAACTTCAGCTTTAAAATCCACAACGATAACTGTAACAAAAGTAACTGGCCTAAATGTTATTAAGCCATTTGTCATGTCAGAATTGTTTAAAAACAAGCATGGAAGAATAAAAACTCCTGTTGGACAAGATTTCACAATCAGAAGATCCTAAGGGAGCATAGAGTAAGAAAAAAAAATCATGCCAATAAATGCCATGTTCACATGGTTTAACCACACTGGGCCCCACTGACGAGCAAACATTAAACAAACTGTACACACACATTTCCCAAACAGCAAACCAGGTCAACTAGAAAATAAACACCTTTTTTAAACAAATCAGATTGATCTAAATAAGCAATTCAGGATTTGCAAGAGATAGGGGTATGTTTGAAAAGTTGAACACACTCATTAGTACTTGTGAGAGTGAGTGCCTTCAACTGTTTGCATAACATATGTGCCTAAGAGATAAGAACCCATATTGGTCTTGCACCAGACAACACAGTGATCTCACACTGACATTTCTGTTTCTGATTCTCAGCTTAGCTTCAGAGGATTAAGTAGATACCTTCCAACCTTTCTAACTAATTTTCTGCCAGAGCTGTTGAAACCGACTGATTCACTGACTGACTGACTGACTGACTAACTAAATAAATGCTAATGTATAGCTGCAAACTGTTTAAGTGGTGTACCCCACAGCTCTATACTTGGGCCCATTCTTTTCCTACACACCCTTGTCATAGATGTGGTCCGGACCATTTTCCTCCGTGATTTCTTCGGCTTTCGCTGAACATCATCATCCTCATCGTACAAGTCCTGTAATAGGTTTTGTGTCAGTCAGCAACTTCACAGATTCAAACCACAGATTGAATTTCAAAATGAAGGTCATAAAACAAGTAGTGTGCAGCTTATTAAAACTGGATTGAATTTTAATTTTAATCAGTTATCGCTAGAGAATTGAAGCCAACACAGCCCTTACACTGTTCTGTGTCTGAAAGACTGTATTGATAAACTGAAAAGCAAGCCCAACCTGAGCCTGAACAGCATCGTCACTGGCCTCCTGCTCTGATGAGTAGCTGTCGTCATCATCTTCTGAATAGTTATCCATATCTGGAGATCGATCTGGGAAGAAAACATATAAAAAATTGCCTTCACGCTTCTTAACCAACACTGTGCAAATAAGCATGAGACAACAACAGCATCTATCTGCTAAAGCTCTACCTTGTGTTATGCTTCTGCTCTTCAGATTGTTTTGAATTTTACAATGCAAACCACTGATAACATATATAACCATTGCCTCTGGTGACACAGGTCACTGTTAATACATTACAGCTGGTCTAGGTGTGCGAAAGCTTGGTATTTGTGGCTGTGGCCTGAACAATGCTGAGTGGATGACGGGAAGACCTCTCTGTGGGGCCTCTGTGGTGCTTTAATGCACTCTAACTGTAACTGCTCTGCTGGGCTCACTTGTTTATATAATGGACAGCTTACAACAAAGCCAATCTAACCCACTGTGCTAATGGAATATCTAACCAGAAGCACACAGGCCTGGAGGTTTTGGAATTGTTCCGGTTTTGTGTGAACATATGAACAACAGAGTTCCAAAGAACAAAAAATGAAAAGGAAATTGGAACGGTGGTGGTTCAGAGGTTCCCTTTTCGTTTTCTACTGCTTTGATTCCATAAATAAGACATGAGCCCAGGATGACAAGTGCTGGTTGAGCTGTTTTAGTTACAGCACTCACCTGACGCTTTGGCTTTTGTTCCTGTCTGACCACTACCATCCTCAGGGTCAATGGGCTGACTAGACAAAGAGTACACACTCAGTTCTGCTGCACGAACAGGGGCTTCCTTCACGTTGCTGTGGAGACCTAGAATCTGGCCTCCATCTGTTGGGTGCTGCATCACCTAGAGACACAGAAACGCAGTTGAATAAATGTTGCAAACAAGCCACTGCTGCTCCTCTCCAAAAACACACATACACACTAACTTGATTTCTTACTAAATTGCAACACTCCTTTATTATGGAAGCATATCAATATCAAAATTAAAATGAAAATATAAGATGTAAAATGGCAATGTATTTGTATGTATTTAAATTTCCCATTCATATATGCAATTTTGAGCAGAAAATTATTATTTATTGATTTTATTTTCTCATTTGGTATACTGGTATTGACATTTCATTTACACAGAGATGTAGATGCTTTATGAGTAGCTTTATTTAAATTAAAATGTATTTACAGAACTGTATTTTTTTTGCTTAATGTGATTATGCAATACCAGTGTCAAAATGATACTTAAAATGTGATTAGCCTTGTATGTATTTTCCTTCTCTAATAATGCATGTAAAATTGCATTATTAAAGAGAACAACAGGCTAGAAAGAGAGAAAATTTAAATGTAAAAAGGAAACAGCACTTCTCCTGTTTGCAATTACACATTCTCGTCTACTACGCTCATTCTGTGGCAAAATGCCTTTGAAAATGCATTCGACCTTATTGTATTGCCATTTTCAGAGACTTCCCAACCTGTCAATCATCCCACAAGGACAGGGTGAACAGCACGCTCAGCGAAAAAGGATTTATCTGAAACATAGAGGCCAATCTTTCTTTAGAAGATGGAGCGAAACAAAACAATATATCATTTTGAGATGATTACTTTGTCTTTATACATGATCCACAAAAAATCTTTAATTGGACATCGGGTAGACGTGGCAGATTTTCCTTTTAAATCAGTTGGCAACAATGTTTGTCACCGACTGTATGCAACAGATTAATCCAGCATGGAGGGCTATTTTTCTAACTTACAAATTACGCATCAGATATATTGCTGTGTTCCACTTTATCTATCACTAGAAATGTACTCATTAAATGATTTATTTGTAATTGTACTGGTACACATAGACATGTGTAAATTACACAACCACCTTGTCACAGTGGCTGAGCTGGCAACAGCTGCTGTACTGTGTCAGTACTGTGATATATTTCAGCAAATTCAGCTAGGGCATCTCTAATGTTCTGCTTTCCTTTTCCAAAATTAATACTGCAAAAAATTGCTGGTATATGTGTGTGACAGTAAGCTGGATCATGTTAGCCAGCTGGTAAAATAAGCAGATGGGGGCCTTGTTTGGGAATGTAGCGCTAGCTTTTAGTTAGCTTAATTCCACAGCCCTGCACAATTCATGTAGCATATTAGCAGGTGAGCAACAGAGCAATATATGCACCTCCTATGCTCACTTTGTAGAACAGGAGTGTCAAACTCAACCACTAAAGGGGCCATATTAAAAAATCTCAACAAATCTGTGGGCTAGAGAAAAAAATGTTTTTATTTCATTTTTAATTAATGTTGTGCTATAATCCAAACTGGCCACTGTTTATTCAAAATATGTACAAACTTTAACAGTAAAATACAGACAGTTATACTAGGCCTTCAAATATTACATGGATACTTCAAATATTCATGATTTAAATGTCCCCAGGAGCTCAGTCTTTTAAACCTACCTATTTGCTTGAACTAGACACCTGGCATCCTTTCTTTGCTGCAAGTTCATTAAGACTTGGGCTCAGTTTCCGAGCTGCTGAGCTAACGCTAAGTGCTATTGGCTGAAATGCATTTGCTGATATGACTAGTGTGGAATTGTGTAGAATTGTGTAGAACTGAGGTGTAACCGCTGTTCCATAGACTGTTGTTGGGGCAGGAGAGTCGGAGCACATTACGTTGCAGTGCATGATGGGGACTGTAGTGCAGCACATTGTGAAAGGGGCTAATATTAATAGAAAATTAAAATACTTTTGTGGGCCGGATAGGATTGTGCCATGAGCCAGATCAGGCCGGCGGGCCTTGTGTTCGATACATGGGTTGTAGAAGATCATAAATGTCCATGTCCAACTTCACTTTCAGCCACTGTTCTGAGTTCATGAAACGATGCTGAAGTTAGCTTCTTTTTCAAATTTTCCAGTCCACCTTAAACGGTGCTACTGTAACATTGGGGCACATGAGGCACCTGAATGTAACTGCTGCACTGTTTAGGGTGGACCGGAAAATTCGAAAAAGAAGTTAGCAAGAATGAAGTCAAGATTAGCCTCAACCAGATTGATAAACGAGAAAACTTGGCCTAACGTTTAATTAAACGCTTTCTCATGGAATCACGCAAAAGACATTAAGTATCTCGAGTTGCTATACTTCTCTTCTTCACCTCATCTGCTAATGTCAGAGTAACTATAAACTCTTTCACCGCCGTGTTTTTTTTTTAAATAAAGTTGTTGCTTTGTGCTGTTGGCCCCACCCTGATGAGATGACTGACAGGTTGGGAAGTCTATGAAAACGAAAATGCAATCGGCGCAAATGCATTTTCAAAGGCATTTTGTCACAAAATGTGCGCAGTAGGTGAGAATGTGCAATTACAAACAGGAGAGGTGCAGTTTTCCCTTTAACATTTGAATTTTGCCCTCTTTCTAGCTTGGTGTTTTCTTTCATTATGCAGTTTCAAATGCATTATTAGAGAGTGAAAATGCGTATGAGATGAATTCCACTTTAATTATCATTTTGACACAATATTTGGATAATCACACATTAAGCATAAATAAGCAGTTCTGGAAATACATTTTAAATTACATAGAGCTACCCATAAAGCATCTAAATCTTTGTTTAAATTAAATCTCAATACTAGTATACCAAATGGCAAGTTAAAATCGCAGTATTGAATTTAAATTTTCATTTTGAGCTCAACATAATATATATGGGTGGGAAAGTTAAGTGCAAACATACAAACACACTGCAATTTTACATATTACATTTTCATTTTCATTTTAATAGTGATGAGCTTCCATACTTTACTGCCTTGGATTACAGAATTCCATTTGCACTTCCTTTTGCTATTAAAAACCTCTACAAAATCAGCTTGCCTAGTGGCTCTTCATTTCATTTTACTTGTGTTCTGTTATCTGTCCCTCTTGGGGGCTTCTCATCACACTGCCCCACTGATCCCTCAGTCTATCCTGTTCTCAGGCAGAAGAAGCTCTTTCTTTCTTCTCCTAGTTAGCTGTCTGCCGGATGACGGCCGCTCTGTCATAACTGAAGCATTGGCAGAGTGCCGTTCAGAGCTTGCGGGGGTGCAACTGGTGAAACTAATTGCAGGTATGTGAAGAAATGTCCTGAGGCTGCATAGATGGTGCCAGTCTGCCCACGCTTTCACATAATGGAGCATGCATGCACACGCACACACATACTCTAATTGTCCGGTTGGTGTAACAAAGAAAAATCAGTAGAGGGAGGTAAGTGCCAGTTCTACTCATTATTAACCTGACTAAGAAACCTTTAAAGACAGCTCTGTCAAAATGGCACATAAGAGAGAAAAATCAGAATTTCTTTTTTCTCACAAAGGCTTTGTTTATACAGTCTTTCAGAAATCTCAGAAAGAGCCAAACTCAGGTCAGCAATTTAGCTCCATGTCTTTTAATAGCTGTTTACTGAAGGGTTCTTTTGAAGTGTGATTTTTAGGTCTCAATACAAGCACTAACCTTCTCACATATAATCTAACCATTTCTGACATCATGTGGAAGTATCCATGTCTGGACAAACAGACTGCAATGGACTTGAAGGCAAGCTTGTTTGTGTCTTCTTCCTTCAGATGTAGAGTGTGCACCCACGTCAGACTTCTAGGGTGTTACTTAGTTTCACAGTGACATTACTCTGCTGGCAGAAGTTAGTGGGGAGTGCTGGGATCATGTGTAAGATGAATAGTTCACTATTGCTATGATGAGTTAAGTTGAACAATAAATGCATTTTCATACATACAAGCAAAGAGTACTTTGGCATTGTCATGTCTCTGGAATAAAATTAAACATTTTAGAGTGTCATATGGTCAAATTGCTGCTAGGGTTGCCAGTACTGTGATGCTAAATTGTAACTGAACCACATTCATTAATGTAATAACGTATTGCCAGAGACAGACACTTCACAGCTAACCATCACTTTGGTATTTGCAAACAGAAATGGTAAAATGACTGGAAAAAGCATGATGCCAATAAACACCATCAACAGTATGGGAGCTCATTAACTTCTTCTAGCTTAAAGTGTGGAGGCAAGCTTCAGGAGGAGAAGGGAAAAAAAGCACATTTAGTTTAGGTCTATAACATAGGTCTCACAACCAACTGCTGCATGTGTCGACACTGACAAACTATATCATGGTTAGATGGCACTACAGTGAGCAAAACCAGCAAGTGAAATGATAATCCTGCACGCAGAAAGCATGCCAGTCAGACACACTACTGAAATCAATGCTGCGTTCAGGTGCTCATCAGAAGATTGTATATACCAGATGGTTAACTAGTAAATATGACTTTGCTCTGTTTGGGTACTGGTTCATAGATACACCCACCATCTGGAGGATACAATCTCCTGCTCTTTCTTTGCTGTATTAAAAAGCACACAAACCTAATAGAGAGCATCAGGTAGATTTTCTTACACATTCACTGGAACTTTAGCACTTTTTATTTGTGTATAAGGTGAAAGGTCACGTTACACGTCACACCTCATAAACTCGTGTATCATCTAGAATCCCGAAGTTACCAGTTGTAAATATGACCGCCATTCAAGCGTAATTTACAAGTAGGAGGTATTAGTACTTTCCTGTTTCCGACACCACTTCAACATAGTATTTGTATGTATGAAGGAAGAAAAATGCATTTTGTATTTTTTATGTTATAGGCCTTGCTTGTTTAACATTTGTCCATGACCATTCATTAAATATTTGTTAACGTTAGCAATAATCGAGAAAGAAAGAATGAAAGAATGCATTTATTCAGTATTTGAAACTGTTCTCTGATGTCTACATAAAAGGTATATATCTTTGGTCAGGGCGAAAAATGCCCAGATGCGGTTTTACACATCCATTTACAATCCTATGATTTGGCCCTAGAATGAGACAAGCTGTTTTCCCTTTTTTGGTGGGCTCATAAATAATTTGATGAGCTCTGCTCCAATTTGCTGGTTTACAGCAAGGCACCACAATGGCTCACAAGGAAGCAACATGTCAAAATGGACACAGGCAGGAAAATTAGTAAATAAGCTAGGTCATCATACTACTTAATTAGCTATGCTAGTTACGTGGAGCTTGCTAGTGGTTTATTCTTCACAATACCTGCTAGGCTAGAACGTGGGTGGTGAATGTAAATTTTGGGGTTGTAAATACCAACGGGACAATAATATTATTTATTTAATTTAGGTTTGTGGAATTGGCCCATTTTACCACCCTCTTTTGCAAATGCGGGATTTGCATTTGAAGGAGTAGATAACAGTTTTTGAGGTTAACGGTATGTCAGTTCTATGTACCAAACTATCCTTATTCAACTATGCCAATGTAAATACAGTTTTCCATTCTATGGTATCTTTAAATTTTGCAACCCTAGTTGCTGCAAGTAGGTGATTGATAATGATGTTGAAGGGGTTTGAGGTTTAGACTAAGGAAACAGGGAACATCCTAAAGCTGCAGGTTAACTAAAGCTGCCTTAGGTTTACTTCAGGAAGTGCCAACCAATATTATATTATAAGCCTCTTTTAAGCAATAATTCAACAAAAAAATTTATTTGCGCAATTTTCTCCTTAGTCCAATATAGTCAAACAGCGAAGACACGTGCAGTTTCCAAAGTCTGCTTCTTAACTTTCGCATTGGAACTAACAGGCTGATGTATCTAACAAATAATGGAAGCTTTCGAATGCCAATTAGCATTGTGCAAGCTGCATAACTACATCAAAAAAGTATAGACACAAATTAGGCCCCATAGCTGTTTAGCTATATGATATACTATTGTCTATTCTTAAAGGTAACAGTGCCTCATTCAGTGTCAGAAACCATACAACCAAATCTACCTGCATTTGAGTGGAGTAACAGCCTGACTTCTGAGAGATGCAATGCAGTGCATTGTGGGATATTCAGTTGTAAGAAATTCAGTCAGTCTTTTTGAAACTTTCTCCCTCTCAACATAGTTCGAGGTTTATGATGATTATGATGATTTGCACAATGCTAATTGGTGGTCATAAGCTTGCATTATTCGTTAGCTTGTTTGCCTCTTAGCAAACTTTGGACATCAAATATTTCTTGGTTTTTCACAAAACTATCCCTTTCAATTCAATTTAGACATGTATAATGAATTTTTTTAAAGCAGTGATCTCTAACCCTGGTCCTGGAGAGCTACTTTCCTGCAGCGTCTAGTTCCAACCACAATTTGTCACACCTGCTCCAGCTACTTAACTTCTTTAGAAGTTCCTGATTGACTGAATCTGATGTATTTGTATTAGGTAAAGGGAGGGGCAGCATATTAAAAGCAGGTTGGAAATAAACTCTGCAGGTGGTAGCTCTTCAGGACCAGGGTTGGAGACCACTGTTTTAAAGTATCAGTTTAGGAGTGGTGAGCAAAGACTACTTTAATATTGACTAAAGACTAGAAAGAAAAGACGTTTCACCACGTTTCATTCCTACCTCTGCCATGTTGATGACACCCACAGCCAGGGTTTTGTATCCTAGTATAGTCCGGTTCTTATAGCGCTTCCTTCTCTGGAGCATAATCTGTAAACGGTTAGCATCTCTCTTCAGGAAGTGTGGATACTGAAGAGAAAGAGAAAAATAGGAAAACAGACAAAGAGATAAAGTGAAATAGAGATGAGAGAGAGAACACAATGACTTGTCTGTACTGTTGCAGAACATTACATCACTTTGTAGCATTCCTGCCTGTTCCCACAAGAATTCTCTCTCTCTTTCCCACACACATACACACATCTAAATATATATATATATATATATATATGTGTGTGTGTGTGTGTGTGTGTGCATGTGTGTACACACATACTTTGATCCTGTTCAGTCCACCTTCACCAGACATCAGCTTTCATATTTGACCAACAACATAACAAGCTGAAAAGTGGAAAGCTTTAGAGGGAAGCAAAGTGGAATGTGTAAACAGTGCGGGGCTTCTGACTATAGTCAGCACTTTTATTCAGCCTCCAGCCACCTTGCAACTCCTCTTTATCAGTTTTAAAAGAAAATTGCTCATGACAACTTTAAAACAGGCTGATTTGACTTGAAATGCAAAATAAAAAGTGTTTTTAAAGTAGGGACATGATACTCTGACCAAAAACTATGTCTTTATATTAACGATTTTACCAATAAGAGATGTCACAAAAACCAATGCCTTGTACCAAGTCAAAGACAAAAATAATAAAAAAAAATGTCCATGGTATCAGTAGTACTGCTTCGAAGTTGGTAACACATTCCTGTCTTACTGCATTCAGAAGAAAACTTGGTAACACCTACTGACGCAAGAGGAAAAATGCACAATAGTCTCTAAATTTGCCGCTGCAGCGTTAGCATTAGTATCCTAATGAAGTAGCTTGAGCAGGTCACGTTTAATTTTGTTTGATAACTAGTGTTATCAATTGTAGAAATAACTGGCATATGCTTGATATGGCTTGGTTCTAAACTACCTTAGAGATTGTAGCTTCCTTGTTGTAGTGTTCTTATTGTTTAGTCATATGAGAGCAAAATATGTTAGCTTTAATAATAATATGTTATTTTTGCTGTTGCTGTCAGGCAGGTAGTTGTATATTGTACTATCTTGTACTGTTTATCTTATTAAAACAAGCGTGTTTATTTGAACTACGTACACAACAAGATCAATAATAATGTTAATAATGAAGGTTGCTGTTTACTTTTCTTAAGTACTTGAAGGCTACATGCCATTTTGCTGTTTGATTTATTTTTTTATGTTCAAACAAATCATTTTTGTATTATGAATGGAATTTCTGTTTCCACTGTTGTATAAGGTATTGAGAATCGTGTAATTTCATTGGTATCGGCATCGACTACTAGAATTCTGGTGTTGTAACCCTACAATTCCATTAGGAAAAATGAAGAATTACGCATTAATGTGAGCTATTAATGTTCTCTACCTGCAAGGAGAAAGTGAGCTCCAGGTCTGTCTCCATCAGGCCACTGGGAGGGAGCACATACTCATTGGACCTCAATATACGTTTGGAGCCCTGAAGACACACATATACGGGAAAGTATTAAACACATTTGTTGTATTAAAATGAATAAAATAGCGATATATATATATGGACTGATTAAAATGTAGTCAATCGAAGCATGACAATGAACTCAAAAACTCCAAAAACAGTGACTGTCAGTTGGCATACTACTATACAGCTTTGCATTATCTCTGACATTCTACAGAAAGGTTTGACAAGATTGCTGAAAATTAAAAAAAAACAACTTTTTCTGCTGTTTCCTCTAGATTATTATTCATAATACCGATTTTCTAGGTTGTAAATAAACTCAGAAAATTACAGAATTTTTCCCAGAATACTTTGCCATCATGCAGACGGCAGACCTCAACGTTGTCCAGATGGCCGTTAACACTCAAGGCCAGCTTCTGGGACAACACCACCAGCATCTCTCCGATTTCACTCAGTCTATCGGTGAGTTAAAATCACAACAGGGCGAGCAACAGTCTCAACTGGCTCAACTTATCACCAGGGTTAAGGATCTGTCTACTCAGATTCAACATCTGTCTGGTAGTGCTCCCCAGTCTCCTAGTTCCCACAACAGTCTTAGCACTTTTCCAGTTAGTAAGCCTGATAAATTTGATGTAAACCCAGAGAAATGTAGTGGGTTTTTGCTGCAATGCTCCATGTTCCTCAGCAATTCACCCCCTAGCTCTGATCAGGCCAAGATAGCATTTTTCGTTTCCCCTCTGTCAGATAAGGCTTTGGAGTGGGCTAGAGCGGTCTGGAATATCATTAAGGATAAATCATATGAACAGTTTTTGACAGACTTTCGCACTGGGTCTGATCACACTCGTGAGGGTCGCTCTTGTGGTGAACTCCTATGCAAGCTCTGTCAAGGTAATCACTCAGTAGCCGTGTTCGCTTTGGAATTCCACACCCTCGCAGCTAGTAGTGGTTGGAATGAGCCTGCTTTGCTGAATGCTTTTCGTCATGGACTAAATTCAGACGTGTTAACAGAACTAGCTTACAGACACGATGAATTGACCTTAGATCAACTAAAAGCCATGCCGATCTGTCTGGATCAACTTCTACAAAAACATTCAACGCAAAGAGCAGTTCCACCACCTAGAAGTCTACCCCGCTCCAGCTCCAGTTTCAGCTCTAGTTCTGGCTTCAGCTCCAACCCAAGCTCCAGTTCCTTTTCCAGTCCCAGTTCAAGCACATCTCCTGAACATATGCAATGTGAATCCTCGAGGTTGTCAAAAGAGGAGAGACTTCGATGTTGCCATGGGTGCTTGTTTCTCTACTGCGGTGCTATGGGTCATGTGTTACGTGACTGTCGGGCTCACACACAAGCATAAAGCACCAACCCCAGGACCACGGAGTGAGTGTTTCCGCTAAAGCGTTGGTTTCAAAATCATTCATGTTGCTTGTAACTATTTACTGCCAGAATTCTTCTCTTGTTTCACCAGCCTTGGTCGACTCAGTAGCCCAGGGCAACTTTACCCACGCCAAGGTGGTATCCCAGCTCAAGATCCCTGCTGAACCTCTACACACCCCTCTTTGTGTATCAGCACTGGATGGGGACCCGGTTGGCCTGGAACCTATCACCCAAGTCACTCACCTTGTCGACCTGCAAACTAGTACCATGCACATTAAGAGAACCACCTATTTAATTTTACAGTCAGCTGAGTTTTCCATCGTGCTAGGTCTCCCCTGGCTAGAGAAATATATTCACAAATTTCACAAACTTCCTGGTCCGACAAAGAAATCACTGCCTGGTCTGACTACTGTAAAGATAACTGTCAAGCTTCTCCTGCCATTTCTGTTAATTTCACTTCCATAGAAAGTCCAGATATAGCATGTGACACTCAGATTCCAGAGGTCTACTCAGACCTGTGAAAGGTTTTTAGCAAGGCCAATGCTACTAAACTTGCCACTACACCACACCTACGACAGTGTCATTAATCTGATCGAGGGCTCTACTCTTCCTAAATCCAGAGTTTACCCCCTTACACTAGAAGAAGAGAAGGCCATGGAAGACTACGTTAATGAGGCATTAGCTTCATTCATCCTTCTACTTCCCCCTCAGCTTTGGGCTTTTTCTTTGTTAAAAAGAAAGATAGTGGACTAAGACCTTGTACAGATTATAGAGCACTCAACGATGTCACAAAGAAATTCGCATATTCTCTTCTGCTCATTCCTGTCGCTCTTGAACAGCTCAGGGGAGCCCAATTCACAAAAAATGCGTATTCTAACTGAGGAAAAAGTTAGGACACCCTACCCCCTAATAGCTAGTGTTACCCCCTTTGGCTGAAATAACTTCAGTGAGATGCTTCTTGTAGCCATCTACCAGTCTTTGATATCGGTCTGAGGAAAGTTTGCCCCACTCCTCAACGCAGAATTCTTTCAGCTGTGAGATATTTGAGGGGTTTCTTGCATGTACAGCCTGTTTCAAGTCACCCCACAGCATCTCAATGGGATTAAGATCTGGGCTTTGACTTGGCCTTTCCAGGACTCTCCGTTTCTTAGTTTTCAGCCAGTCCTTGGTGGATTTACTGGTATGTTTTGGGTTACTGTCATGTTGCAGGGTCCAGTTCCGCTTCAGCTTTAATTTTTTTACAAATGGTTTCACATATTCCTCAAGCACCTTCTGATACATGGTAGAATTCATGGTGGATTCTATGATGGTGAGCTGGCCAGGTCCTGCTGCAGCAAAGCATTCCCAAACCATGACACTTCTAGCTCCATGTTTCACAGTTTGTATGAGGTTCTTTTCCTAGAATGCCGTATTTGGTTTATGCCAAACATGCCTTCTGTTATGGTGTCCAAATAATTCAATTTCAGACTCATCTTTCCAAAGAACATTATTCTAGAAGTCCTGGTCTTTGTCTAGGTTCTCTCTGGCAAACTTCAGTCTGGCCTTCATGTTTCTCTTGGAGCACAAAAGGTTTCCTCCTTGCACACCTCCCATGAAAGTTAAACTTGTGCAGTCTCTTTCTGATTGTAAAGTCATGCACTTTCACATCAACAGTAGCAAGAGCCTGCTGTAGGTCCCGTGATGACATTTTAGGGTTTTTTGAGACTTCTTTTAGCATCTTGCGGTCTGCTCTCGGGGTGAACTTGCTCGGACGGCCAGACCTGGGCATGATGGCAGTTGTCCTCCCCTTGCAGACTATTTTCCGGACAGTGGAATGGCTGATTTTAAATTCTTTTGAGATCTTTTAAAATCCCTTACTATGACTCATAAGCTGCTACAATCTTCTTTCAGACAGCTCTTTCGATCTCACCATGGTGTTCACTCTTACTTCAACAGTCAGGAGCACACCAAACTAAATGTCTGAGGTTTAAATAAGGCAAGCCTCCTTCAAAATGCTGAGTAACAATGTTCTAATCATGTGCACCTGATGTGACACACCTGTGTGTGATTTTAGCCATTTTAAGTGGGAATAAAATGTGGGGGTGTCCTAATTTATTCCTCACCAAAAATGCATTTTTTTTAATTACACTTCACAGAAAGTTTTAAAAAGTCTTTTCTTCAGTTTTAATTGTTCAGTTATATTACTTGAATCTTTCAGTATTGTTAAAATTGATATTTTATTTCCACATGTCCAAATATGTTAAAAAACACACAGGCTTTCATAGGGTGTCCTAATTTTTTCACATTACTGTATATCTTTCCTGGGTTATGTCATTAGTGCCTCAGGGACCACAAGGTAGAGGCTGTGGTTAGTGAAAGAACTACAGAGATTTTTAGGCTTTGCCAAATTTTATTATTCTCCCCTGCAGAACGTAATTATGGCATAGGCTACTACTCACTACTAGGAGTTAAGCTAGCACTAGAAGATGGCGGCACTGGTTGGAGGAAGCTCAACATCCCTTTCTCGTTCTCACGGACCATAAGAACCTAGCGCCTTAATCCCTGACAAGCCTGCTGGTCACTCTTTTTTTCACGTTTTCAGTTTAACATTTCTTTTAGTCCTGGTACCCGTAATTCTCAAGCAGATGAAGCAGATCACCACCGTGGTGAGATCCCCTTATTCCAGCCTGGAGATGTGTGTGGTTATCGACTTGGGATCTCAGGTTTGGGGAGGGTTGCAAGAAACTGCATCCCAAGTATATCGGTCCATTCCAGATTAATGATGTTACTTACCAGCTCGATTTACCTGCTCAATATCGCATCTCACCCTCTTTCCATGTGTCCCTTCTCAAGCCTGACTCTCCAATGTTCTGCCTCACCTGACTACTGATCACTCACACCTGTTCCTTGTTATGGTGACCTGTTAGTTTAGTATATAAGCCCAGGCTTTAGCTTAGATCATTGCAAAGTACTGCCTTTGTTATCAGAGCCTTACAGAGCCTTCCATTTTGTCTGTTTGCCATTTCGTGTATAAACCTTGCTTTGTTTTCTTCAACCTTGCCCTCTCAGTGTTGTTGTGATTTCTGGTTCCCTGTTTCTGTTTTGTGGACATTGCTTTTTAGACTCAGCTCATGGTTACTGTTTTGGTGTGCTGGTTTTTGATATTGGACTGGCTGACTTTGATAGATGATAACAACAACAATAATAATAATAATAATAATAATAATAATATTTATTATTATTATTATTATTATTACTGTTACTTTGATAACCATTTGGCACAGAGGTGAGTGCTGGAATGGTTCAGATGCTATAATGACCCAGCTAAAATAGTTAGCAGAAGAGTTTACCTGTGTTCTTCGAGTTCTGGTAGATGGTTCTTTTTACATTTACTTACACTGACATTTATTTTAAATTAAAAACTAATATTAATAATGTAATACTAATACTAAGTTTGTAGTATAATAACTGATATATTAACATTACTACATGTAAACCAGCAAAATATATTCACATCAAAGTCAATAAGCCATCCAAAAATAAAGTATGACTGCTGATTAACAAGACACAGACTGGAGTGCGGGATGGAGGAAAGACAGACAGAGAAAGAACACGAAAGAAAGAAAGAAAAAAAGAAAGAAGCAAAGGCAAAAAGGCATCTGCCCATTGGTCATGAAGGAAGTGAGAAAAATTCTCAATAATCCAGCCTTCAGGGAAAATGCTAACCAACTCAATCACTCTGATCAAGAGCAGAAATAAAGAGGATGAGGCTATTTGGGTCATCAGACCTTTGGCGAAGACAGAATAACAGCCCACAGCCTGAAAATCTCATCTTTTTCTGACTTACTATAATTCTTTCATTTGTTTCTCCTATGTCCATTTTTGTAAAGGTAACAAACTGATGAGTGTTTTTGTTTATTGAAAGAAAAAATCACACAATGCATTAAGAAAAGTTATGATTCTTAAAAGTGCTACTTCAAAACCTCCTTCTTTCCCTCAGTCTTTGCTGTCCAGTCCCACTCCTAACAGCATACTTGCCCACATAGTTTAGTTCCAAACCCACCTTTTGGTAGGCATTAATTAAATGGATCAGGTGTGTTAAGTTAGGGTTAGAACTAAATTTGCAGTACGTTAGATGCAGGGTTGGGCACTTTGGTACAGAAGAATAATGTGACCTTAAAGGACTACCCTTATCTGCTCCTCCAGAATCCTTAAATAGACTTCCAGCCTTAATTAAGACCTTAAGGATTTGACTTCCGATCGAGAATAAGCTCAGAGGCTAAGGAGTATGGTGAGACTCCTCACCTCAGCAATCCTACCTGATGAGGTATCCAGAGATACTACAAAAACATGGACTGACCTTCCAGTCAATTCTGAACTCTCAGGGCCTTTGACCTACAACCCAGAAGTTGTAGTTGGGTTCCAATATATCATATATCTTGCATACAGCATAAAAGTTTGTTTGTGAAATATATACACATTCACATACTCACACACAAACAAACACACTGACGGTTTAGCCAAAAAAACCTGTAAGAAATGTTGAGGGCCTCTTAGTACTCTGAAATAAACCTCTCTGTGAATCCAACCATGCATCATTTCAGTCACCCTCGAATCCCACTCATCTTATCCTTTCACTTCACTGTTCCCACTGAACAAGCTGTCACCTTGGCAACAGCTCACAGTTACCACTGTGCCATCTGAGCTGCACAAAAGACAGAAAGAGACAGACAACAGAAACACGCAGATGCATTACCTGAATCTTGACAGCGATGACCACAGAGTTGAGCTCTCGGTCCAGTTCCTTCAAAACAATGAGCTTTTTCAATGTAAGGCTGCACAATCTAGGGAAGGAGGAGATGAGAAAAGAAAAAAGGGAGTGAGGAAAAGACAGAAGAAAAAGAGGCTCGTTAGATTGTTAATTATGTCCGAAACCTGATCTGTATTTCCCTGAAAAGATTTCCAATAGCTTTTATTTTCTTTATTTTCTTCATGTCTCTAGCCTGCAGAACGAGAAACATGTACAGATGCATTACAGTACCTAGGAGGTTGTATTTTGAAGTGATGTCACAAAAACCTTCATTCCTGTCTGACTGCAAGCACACAAAGAACTTGGGGGCCATAAAACACAATACTAAAAAGCAACAGAAGTCACAGAAGCTTCCAAGGTACCTAATAAAAGCAACATCAGGAAACAAAAAAAAAAATCATTTCATTTACTGTTTAGCATGTTAGAATTATTCAGCAAATCATAAATTATTTCTCAAAGCACTTAAAAGACAGACACCTTGATCTACTGGAGTTTCAGCAGGTGAGTTTCAATTTATGTTTAGGATGAATTAAGAATAATTTTAATGCCTGTTGTCAAAGTGGTCTTATCCAAAAATGAACATATTGCTATTAGTATTATCATCTTATATACCTAAGTTCTACCTAACCTTGTAGGTTTAAACTACACCTCATTGTAGTGTCCTTTCTGTTAATTTTTTAAGTAGATCTTATTATTTTCCTTTTTTTTTAGCTTTTTAAAGACAACGGTTGACACAATGTCAAGAAATGCTCACTGACCTACACCTGACTACTAAAATCTCAATTTCCTTCCATAGTATCAAACAGAGGAGGCTGACTGCCACTGAGGAGGCTGACTGCCAACACATACATAGTTAACCATAACCGAGGCTTTTTAGAGACAAAATATGACAAAGACATTAAACAACTAAATTGAACAGGGCAGTATGTTTTAGATTATATTACTTATACAACATTGTTTATCTGAATAATAATACATTTTGTAGTAATAGAGTGGTTGCTGAATGGGATTCTGCTTTTTCTTGTGGCATCACATCAGGTATTGGGATATTTGTAATTTCACTAATAATGGAATCAAATTCCAAGATTCTAGTATTGAGACATCACTAGGCTGCACTCAAATTGGGCAAAAGGATGCAAATAACACATGGTTTCTCACACCTCACACACCTACATTCACATCTGTTTAAAACACACATGAACACAGTAGAAAAAACAGTAGTGTCACTGACACATGCCCTTATTTCTGTGAAGCAAATCGAGTAGGATTTTACTGCATGTAGGAAAACCTCCAAATGGGAGGGGCGTAACTCCAAATTAAGAGGTCAGAGCTCCAAATGGGAGGGACGTCACTAAGAGTGCTCTGCTATTGGCTGTTGAGAAGTTCGTTGGGATCTCTGTGATGCAGATTCGGTGTTCCTTTTGCTTTTAATTTATTTTTGTATCTTTTCTGCATTAAATAAATGGACAGATCATGATGTCCATTTTTTTTTTGAATAAACTTGAATGTAGGCTAATTAAATGGACTAGATTCGAGTTTGATCCACAGCCTAATGATTTCTTCCCCTTAAGATTTCATGTTAACTGTCTAAAAGTCAAGTAGATATAGAGTTGTGTGAACAGATATGGCTTTTTCTACCAGCATTTTTGCTTTTTTATATCGATGAACCTAAGGCTGATTTGTGCAAATTCACCTTTTCAGATAAAAATGAAGTCAAATAAATTATTATTCATAGACAGGGGTCTGAGCTGTGTGTTTTATGGGCCAATGAATGATAGCGATGCTGATAATTCCTTCTATTTTCGTATTCATCAGGAACAAACCAACCTTTTCATATTATTTAATTAAATTAATAATTTAGCTTCAGTCATCAAAGTACTCACAAGATCATAAAGTGTTTTTTGGCTTCATCGTGCCACACTTCCTCTCACCCAGACATTTTTTTTTAATATTGTTGGTTGTAAGATCACATTAAAGATGGAAAAGATCAGACATGATTTGTTTTTACAACAGAAATTACTGCACTTTCAAACATGATGATGTTTTATATTTGATGGATATAAAAATATTAATATTGAGGCTCAGGTCACATCTGAGTTTAGGTTCATTATTCTGTTCTGTAGCTTTAATTTAGCCTTTTTGTCCTGGGGCAAGTTATGGACCAACTGTCTCCTAAGAGCACCCTACATACTTGCAGGAATACATACTTGAGTAAATCCCATGCAACACTCATCATATGTCACATCACAGTCATATGCACTCTCACATATGACTGATGAAACAGAACTGACCATTCAAACGTTTAATCTGGAGACACACCTTGTCTTGACAACAGCAGTGACTCAGCTGTTGAAACGTTTATATGTGTCTGTGATTTGGGACTAATGGAGCTGCAGATGTGCTCTCAATTCAAGCTGAGTCTAAAAGAAGCCAATTATTTTCTACAGTGACATTTCAGCAGCATAAGAGGCTTGAGGAAAGAGGGTTTGTTTTGATATGTTCTAGGGGACACTTAAGGAAAACGTGTGTTCATGTACCTTACAGTACACTGCAGCGAGGTAGATGTAGCAACTAGAATGGATATAGGGCAGATCAGAAATTAGTGAAACCAAACAGGGTGAGTGTGTGTGTGGGAAGGAATAAGGAATAAGAGTCTGGAAAAAGACTAAGGGATAAGGAAGTTTCAAAATATACCTACTTTACTGATTTTACCCATGTCTGATTGATCTAGCGTTTTAATCTTCGACCATCACTGAGCTTTAGAAGACGGAGACAATCCACACCAGAGATTTCTCCTCACATACACTGCTCAGTGACTCATCCATGCTGAGGCTGAAGAGATTCATAGTCTTTGACTTCCTTTATTCACTTAAAAACCTCTCTCTCACCTTTTTGTCTATGGTTACATTAACAAGGACATGCACTCATCCCTTGCACCAAACTGCAAGCTTAAACTCACTGAACCCTAACAGTAGAATGACACACACACGAACACATACAACACCAACAATCACATGGAAATGCTAGGAAAGAAACTACATTCATGTCCACACACACTCACACAAACAGAGTGCATCACTGATGGAGAAAAGTTTGTGCTACGTCAGCACAAAGCATGGCCATCTGACCGAAACTATTCACTACTGGCCTCTGTGAGAGGCCCAGTGAAAGCAGAAGAGGGCTGAAAGAGCCGGACGCTGCAGGCCAGGGAGCATGGGAAAAAAACAAAACAGTGGGCTGCTTTCAGCAGCACTGTTAACACACTTCAGATCCCCTGCTGATCTTACATAAGTCACTGTTGCCTGCAAGTCAGAAGAAACCATCAGTACCAACTTTCACTAGCAATGTCATAGTCAGGATTTAGCCAGTCATGCTAGGCTACATGTTTTAGCTAACTGTCTGAATAGCAGATGTTTACTACTGAACGCAAAGCATGACATTAAGGTTACCTGAGTCTTGACAGAGAAAGAAGTAATACTGAAGGGCCCATATGCAACATTTTTCTTCTATTCTATTTTTTTTTTCTTTAAGTTCATTTATAGGACTGGGACATTAATTGATTTTTAAAAAAAATCAATAAATAAGGGCATAATTCTTGATAAATATTGTTTTTTTCATTGTTTAAAACTGATGGTATTTTTGCAGTTGCAGTTTCTGAGTTTTACAGACAAAAAAAAAACACATCGACATTACTTTATGGTCCACTTCTGTGTCTTCTCACCAAGTTCTCAGTGTGTAAGAAAAAAATGATTTGACAAGTGTATTTTTGTGAAAAGACTTTAGGTAGACTTAACATTACTCTATAATTAACCATGGAATTTTTTTTCTTATGCCATTTTCCTCAGTGTGCAAGTTCTCCAGCATGACTCCAGCAAGAACAACAGCTGAACCCTTTGTCATGTACCTCCACCATTCCCGAACAATGAGCGCAGTGTGAAAGCATCCCACTGTGTGCGGGGTGTACCTACAGACCAGGTACTCCGCAGTGATGTTTAAGTAAGTGGGACTTGTCAAACTGATATTCACATGAATGCACAGACCCAGGATGTTCCAGCAGAACGCTGCCCAGAGCATCATACCACCTTGTCTTCTTCTGACAGTGCATCCTGGTGCCATCACTTGCCCAGGTAAACGCCAAAGACATATCTGACCATCCATGTTAGTAAGAAAACAGGACTTCTCAGAACAAGCGACCGCCTCTCATTGCTCTAAGGTCCAGTTCCGACACTCGCATGTCAATTGTAGGGCACTTTCGACAGTGGACAGAGGTTAGTATGGGCACTCAGACCAGTCTGTGGCTACACAGCCCCATATGCAGCAGGGTGTGATGCACTGTGTGTTGTGACAGATTCCTCCCATAACCATCATTAAAAAAATAACTGTGCCATGGGACAGCCCTCACGCATCAAAGAGCCTTGGGTACCCAACACCCTGTTGCTGGCTCGTGGTTTGTTCTTCTGTGGATCACTGTCAGTTGGTAATCTTCACTGTTGACCAGGAGACCCCACAAGCCTTGCTGTTTCGTTATGGTCTCACCATAACGACTTGGCTCTTGTCAAAATCTGTCCATTTCTTCTGCATCCAACACAATGACTACAAGAACCAACTGTTTGCTCACCATCTAATATATTCCGGACCTTAACATGCGGCACTGTTATCAGTGTTATCCGCTTCCTCTGTGGGTGGTCATAATGTTTTGGCTTATTGGTGTGTACAGCGTGAAAAAAAATAAATTATTGAAAATCAATGATACATCATAGCATCTAATCATGCTGTATACTTAACATCATAAAAGTTTTAGTACAAGAATATGGTAAAACTGTATTAAGTTCTTTTTGATGACATTATGGTATTATTTCAGAAATTTCATGCACACAGTTTTCTTTTCACGGGGATGTACTGTCAGAGTAGGTACTGACAGAAAGCAAACATTTTAAGATGCACAACCTGCAGCAAGTGACCTCTGCCAATCGCCCACATTTAGCCTATTCGCTCTATAAAGTCACTTATGGTTCACCCACCTTCTCTCTCTCT